ATTACGCATTTCATTAGCGTACTGAATACAGAAACTAACCTGACCTCGACATAGTCTCGACGATTTCACGTATCGTTGTTTTATTGCTACGTATCGCGCGAATTCATTTTCTTAACTATAACAGATAGTTTGATTTAGATTACTCGCAATCAGAGGTCTGCAAACTTGAACGACTTCTATCTAAGATTCTATCGCTAGGTAAGAAAACGTTTCTCCGCTGGTAGGAACTTTCTTCTTTTCTTTCCCGACGGTTGTCGCATCGCGGTATCGAGAATCGCAATTAGCCGTGGCTTCAGTTCATCTCGCTTTTAAGACGATTGCGTGTTTAGAAGGAGAAGTGAATGGCCTATCCTAGTACTTTCTTTAAATCCTTATTCACTTCAACGTAATAGTATGAATTTAACTTCGAAAGAATGAAATCTGACCCCTCGTCAAAGACTTTTCCACCTGTAGAAACACAGGAAACCCAATGAAATGATCGAAATGGTATTCTCCAAGATACGATTACTCGACTGGAAACCACGTCCTTTACTTTTCTTCGGGAATAACTTGGCCGCAATTTTCCTCTAGTGTCAACAAGGAGGCACACCTGATTACTCCTTTCTCTCGTTGCGCTCCTCCTTCTAACGTGCACCATCTCCTTTCTCGCTTCTTCTTGCTTATTTCTATGTTTCATTACTGAAACGCGCAACGGCCTCCGTGTTACTTAAGAACAGCAGCAGGTTGCGTCGTTTATAGTAGTTACACTTGCACTTTCATAGAGGTGCGAACGAGCCACGCGCCCTCGACTTTCCCGCCCAGCTGCAACCACGAACCTGACAGTACAGTATCGAGCATTGTACGCGTCTTCAGGGAAAACGTAGAAAATGGCATTGCTAAAAATGGCCAGTCGACCACGTGCCAATCCTGAAGAACGTAATAGCAGTGAATTAACCTTGATGCAACACGTCAAGGCGAAATTTCGTTATTAAGATTTCTATTCGATGATCAATAGCGGTTGATTCGCTAAAACCGTTCTGCCTATGTCGCAACTGCCATCTAATTCGTTCGTGGCACAACGATGATTATTTTGACGAAATTTTCTAATAACTATCATCGATGATCCACTTTTAATGATCCTTTCCTCCGTTTCGTTCAGCTTGGAATAAGTGACGGTATATTTAGCCGCGACGGGGCGCGAATAGACCCGCTGGCTCCGGTTCGAGTTAAATAAAGACGTTGCAGCTATCGTACAAACTCCCCGGACTATCGAGTCGTCGAAGTCATGGCCCTATTTATTGCGCGAGCAGTAGCAAGCGAAGCTTTATCACCTTTAATTTTCATTAGCACGGCATCTTTCAATTTACTGCAAGAGAGATCATTCCTCTGCACGCGACTAGTAGAGAATTCATTTGCTCAAAAAGTATCAACGCCTGAATCGTGTAGCAATATGGAAAGATTGGCCTGAATTAAGTTCGAATTCCATCCTACGATTTGTCCGAGAAAAGAAAATTAAAACAACTTCATCTAACCGGTTGTAACTCGTGAAATTCGGTCAGCAAAAGGCTTCGAACCACCTCGAAATCGCTCATTCGGCAAACGAGACTTTTCGAATAGTTCGAGGCCTCTGAATCGCTACTGGAACATATCCAAACTGAGGCAAGACAAGAGGATCGTGAAAGTGGTTTCACGTTTGCGTCTATCCTCGATACGCGTCGCGATTAGCGATGGATTTCAGCAAGACTCGCTTCTAGCCCGTTCTTCGATTTTTTTCTTTTTCAAAGCTCACGTTCAAATGTCACTCAGATTCGGATTCTTAATAATTTAACACTGGAAAGGTTAATGAACGATGACGTTCAATTGGAGCGTGGAATTTTACACCGCGGATGAAGTTCAAACGACCCTGAATGTTTCGAAATTAGTCGTTTAATATACAGCAGCCTAGTATTTCTAAAATATAATTTATTAATATTATCAGGTGTTTAATTTATTCCAAGAAGCAGAATGTCGAAATGAATATAGATTGCGAAGGTTTGCAAAGGATTTCTCGATGAAGAAATGAAGGAACTCGCTTGGGAATGAGGAGTTAGAAACCTTGATGTTTTGATACCGTTGATTCAAGGTGAAAAAATTAATTTTCTGCCAATGTTTTCGACGTTTCTCAGATATCTACCACTTTGTTGCCTTTCCCTATCGGGATTAGGGAGGGATGTTACAACATCGTTGAATCGTGTCACGGCGAGTACGAAATAGCGAATATAATTTTCTATTTCACGACACGGTTCGCTCATTTGGTATGTAAAGTTGATTAAATCACAGAATCTCGTACAATTCGTCCGGGGACATGAAATTTCACGAGAATCTTCAGCGTGAAAGTGATCATGTCCAGCATAGATTTATACCCACTTTGTACATAGTAATCTTCTCCACCATTTCCATTTCTTTCCAAGTAGAATTGTCATTAGGAAGCACAAGTACACTCGAGAGCAACGTACACTTCTTTTGTATAAGGGCTAGGGAAGGATTCTCCCTTCATTTACTTTAAATTTTGGAAGGTTCACAGGTTCATTCCGAAATAGAAAAGTTCTTCGTGATTTTAATAGTAGCTCGCACGCAACAGAATTGTACACTGGTCACAATATAGATTTCTTACATGTATAAATACCGATTGTGTCACTGCTGGGTATGAGCAATGATCTCATTGCAATCTTGAAAGTTTCCGGGAAACTTAAACCCACTACTTCTTTCCCTAGTAGTGGATTTACATGTGAAAGTATCACATTTGATAAAACTCTTGTCCTTCACCAACATCAATAGTCTTAGATGTTGATAAATATACTTGTAAATTGAAGTGGCCTTAAATTTGATAATATACAAATTTATCAATATTGATGCTGATAAATTATCAAATATCTACCTTGTATGATTACTAGGACAGTAATGCTATTCAGAATAATTTCTATAATTCCTCTAATCTTAAGAAACCAATGATCTAAAATCTGATTTCTTACAATAATCCACTTGAATCATTAAGATTCTCTATCGATGATCAAAAGATGTATCACGATTAAAAAAGCGAAGTACATTAATTTGCAACGTTGTGGGTCAGTTATCGCGCGTAGTTTGTTACCAGTGAATCGAAACATTTAACCTGTGCATATTGAGGTCAGTGATTTGTTCATCCTATCGTTAATGACGATTCCAGCGCCGAGACACAGGTTCTGCCGTCCATAAGTCACCGGGCACTCTTTAAAACAGAATACCCTTTTTAAAATTGGACCAAATTGGAGTTGAGATTTTTTGAGAAGCTATAAAAATTAATATAAATTGGGAACTTAAGCTATATGCATGCTGGAAATTTCATCGAGATCCAATCAACGCGTCTAGAAGTTATAAGCAATCGAATCTAGTGATTTTCATTACAAGCTCAAAACAAACAATTATAAAAAGTGCGATCGCGACAAATTGTAATTTTATTAACGCGACAAAATCACGTCATCTAGAATATTAATCTTTATAGCTTCTCAAAAAATTTCAACTCCAATTTGGTCGAATTTTAAAAAGTGTATTCTATTTTAGAGTGTTCGATAAGTTATGGACGGCAGTGTATATAGAAGCGAGTAAAGCAAGCGTTTCCTTGCGTAACTTGCGCGCAAAGACACACCAGTGTGTTGTGGCCCGTTTTCTGCGCCCGGCCCATTATAATGTATACAGTTTTCGCAATATATTTCTCGAGGTATTTCGCTTGCTCGACGCGTTTTCGACTTTTCGTTTTGCAAGCGAGAACACAGGACGATCCGATCTATCGAAGATCAAACGTACTCGTCGATGTCCAGATTATTTTGGATAACACTTGAATGAATGTATCGTGCCACCTTGACCTATCTGCTATCGATGGCGTTCATTTAACAAGGGTGCAACAGAGGTTTCCCTTAGTCAGACCGTACATCGCGATTTAGGGGTTGAAATAATAAATGACTATTTTTGGAGAACGTACATATACGTTGGAGTAGTGAGAGAATCGTAGTCTAAGCGCCTCCTGTACAAATCGGCGACCGGCTGACCGATGATAAATGACGACACCCATTCAAGTCTGTTGTCGATTGGCCTTGGCGAGAATTCTCTCGCCGACCGAGTTGTATTGAAAGCGAAATTCAACGGATTACCAAACCATCGTCTATCGTGTGGCATGTACACGCTGATAGCCATTGGCTTTCAGGGACGTAATTAATTACCAACCATCACCCACGTTATTCCTTTTTCTTTTTTTACCACGTCCTTCGGACCGTTACCAGAGGAAATAACTGGGACGAACGGAACCAGTTACAATTAGTCAATGTTTTTATCATAGAGTAATCATAGTGTAGGATAACATTCAGAATGTTGCAAAACCAAGAACGAGGGCAAATTAATTAATTAAAATGAAAGGATTAATCGGGGTTAGAGATAGAATCGGATAGATAAGAAAGAGATCGGAGTGATTAGCTGTATTCGCAGATTCGAAGCATCGTTGACGAGTGAAATTCGAAGGTTGGTCGGTTGGAAACGGTAAAGGTAGGCTTGTTGGTAATGGTTCAAGGCCGTGACGATTCATGGTCGGCCCATAAGTTGCGCAGCGTCCTGTCCGTGTAACCCATAACAAAAATTTTCTGCTCACTTTCGTAAGCGAAAGTACGAGGTGAATTTCGGATCGGACCGATTTTGGGCGACGCGCGCGCGAAATCGCTTCTAATTCAATGGCCATGCCGAAAATCATGACACAGATCGGTTATATTTTATGTAACCGATTGATCGGTCAGCTGGTGTTAAGTAATATCTGCCCTCGTTCGCACTAATAGACCAAGAGAAAAACTTCTTTCCTTAAGGATATTAAAAATCAAAAATCAGGCCATATACCAGGCGTCTGCCGAAGGTTTTTGGTACAGTAAACAGAGAACGAGGTCGTGATACAATTTCAGGATTGACATTCCTCATTGCATCTCATGATAACCGGTTTTTTTTTATTTCTTCATTTGTTTCAGGAACTCGCGAGTCTGTTGGTGAAAAGCTGCGCCACCCTTGATTTATTCGTCGGGAATATATCTTGTAAAGGATCCCTACGGGACAAGGAGGAAAGATGTCGATTGTAATGCAGTACGTGGACCGGCTCCACGAGATACTCGACAAACATGCAGGTAAGCTTATAAATCAGACTTATAAATATACAGTACGTAAAAATCTTTGATCGTCTGAGGTCAAATTTATTATCTCGTCAACGAAGATTAACCCTTCCTCGGGTGATCTCTTTATTCGGCTACCTGAATAAACGACAGATGTTTGTTTCATCGATAATCGTTTACCGTTAATTGAACAAACATTTTCAGTAAATTGAAAGATTTTGCAACTTTATTCAAAATATTGATGGAAATGTTACACTCGATCAATAAAAGTAAATAATAATAAAAGAAACTTGGATTGCAAAATGAAAGAATTGTGCGTTGCCAATTATTATAAATCAAATACAAAGGAGAACTTCAGAAAATTTTCTAGAATTTTAAAACCCTCTAAAGATTTTATCTTAAAATACACATGTTTTCGCATGTAGATTTCACCATGATTGCACAACCATGACCTTGCGAAAAACTCTCCTAAAAAATAATGCAAACACACTCGTCTCCTATCGCAATCAGGACACAAGTTTCGAAGACTTCCTTGCAGGAAACATAAAACAACGAAAAAATTCTCGCAATACGAAAAAAAGAAACTCCATAATAGCCTGTTGAATTCAGAAACTTCAGCTGTAACATTAATTCGAATAGATTAATCGTTGCCCTGTTTCACAATCTCGTCAACTTTCGCCGCTTACCTACCGTCTGTTTTTTTTTCCTTCCAAATTTCTAAATTAATAACTTTTTTTTTTTACGTTTTTAATTAAAGGTGTTCAGATCTGTGTAAACAAAAAATGAATAAGATTTTCGTTCGCTGGAAGATGATATTGAGCGTCCATTAGCAGAGGAGATGCTTAGGAGTCTGGAGATTTCGATGAGCGCACAAGCATGAAAAATAGGGTTGAAATTACATGGAATTTCGTAGCGGTTAAACGAACGTCATTCGGTCGCGGTGTTACGGTAGCTGCACCGAAAATGAATTATTCATTTCATGCGATTCGAAGAAACAGTCGCCGCTTTTCAAGGAAGATTTTGATGCTTCTCTCCGCCGCGCAAACAGGCAAACACGATACTTTATTCTTGAATCTTCCAATTTTAAAACTTTCCACGACGTGGAAACTGAACCTTACGAATCGTCACGATCTTTGGCTTTCCATTTTAGATTCATGTCAGGAAAATTAATAGCTAATTAAAATCATCGTGAAGGTCTGAAATACAGGAAGCTTTGAAAAAATTTGATGGGCTCCCATGATTCACGACCACCCTGAGGCGTGTCCAAGGTCGTTTCAACCAAAGACCGGTTAATGAAACAAATTTTACGACTGATTCGAGCACAAACGACGCGGTAGTTGATTGAACTTTCGAAGGACAAAAAGGGTATGGATGAGAGTGAAGAAACCTCAAGGTCGAGGCTGTTACACTTTTACCTCAGTGAACAGATACCTTTCGAACGGGTTATTTTCAAAAAGGAACCGTTTGATCGCCCTGTATTTATAGAACATATTTTTCGTCCAAGGAAATAATTAAAATGCTAATTATTCGATTCATTCTGTTTCATGTTTTTCATTTCCAGATCAGAGGACAACGAATTGGTTCCTGATGAGTTCACCGTTCCCAACGCTGTTCATCTGCCTAAGCTACGTATACGTGGTCAAAGTTTTAGGCCCTAAATGGATGGAGAATAGGAAACCGTTTCAATTAAAGAACGCCTTGATAGCCTACAATCTATTCCAAATGTTGTTCTCCGCGTGGCTGTTCTATGAGGTAACAACCCTGTTTCAATCGCGTATCCCGCTTTTCTACGTCTGTTTGTTCTTTGTCTCTCGCTCACTTTTGCATTTTTACACTTTTTTTTTTTTCTTTTTTTTTTTAATATCGTTCATACGTGTTTGTTGCATGCACCGAACCGATATGTCTATTATCCATAAACAGTGAACAGAGAGATGAGTGTTTCATTTCTGGCGGGAACGTCGAATGTCTGAATCGAGTCGTCGAGTTCGAAATCATGGGGATGAATAACGACGATGTCGCTTTTCTGATACTTTTCTTGAAAGTGTTAACTAAATTTTTGAAAGTATTTCGAACTCGAGACCGGCTTTCGTTAGGCATAAAAGAATGTGCAAAACAAGTGGTTAATTTTGCAAAAAAAACTCGAATAACGATAAACAACAGTGCCTGATGGGAGGATGGTGGGGCCACTATAGTTTCCGTTGTCAACCGGTGGACTATAGCAACAATCCGACGGCGGTGAGGGTAAGTTCAATGTTTCGTTCGTTCAACAGATGAGCGATCATCGACCACCAATTCAACGAGACGAACTTCAACGAATGCCAAATTCTTCTTCTTCAATTATACATACCTGCGTACACGAGGCTACATAGGAAAAATTTAAGCAAATAGAAAACGTTGTTTCTCAAATTGTTCACAAATAGTTGCATACTGATGGCCGACTGTGACCACACGAGTCTCTGTATATATTCTTGCAGTAAATTATGTTAATCATAGAATACTTGTGGCTACGTGTACGCATATGTCGACGATTAAACGTTTCACGTATTTAAAGGTGCTAGCTTGTGGCTTTTGTAGGTAGTCGACCAAGGCAAGGGAGGAAAACGGCCTGCGATGAACGAGTAAATTACACTAAAACGCTTCGTGCTTTTCTGTTTCGTTTTCAATTGACTTTTTCTTTTATGTTCGCTTATTTATCTGTTACTAACAGTTTTCTGTACTTACCTATTTAAATGAAACTTATAAACTCGCAAAGTTTTATTCAAATCGGTGAGTAATGGTTTCTTTGTTGAATAAAAATGATAAGTGTATAAATACTCGTAAAAGCGATTGCACTGGATTATACCTATCTCCATTTTTATCTTTCATGTCCAGTGTTAAAAATACCGAGTATATATACGTATTCACTGGTATCAATTCTGCACCGTATTTGAAATATTCCATTAGGCATGAACTTCTTGCTAAGTAGTGGATTAGTGGATGTAGAGTATGCCCGTAAGGAGAAGCAGGTACAGTGTCGAGCACGCTAACCCTCCCTAAGGAAAATGACGGTCTAGGAGAAAGCTCCACTAATTACATCGATACTCGAGAGTTATTATACATTATGCTCGAGTTAGTCTGGGTTAAGTTACATGAAACGAGTATTTGGTTCACCTTGTTCCTTAGGGAAAACATTCCAGGCTGACTATGTACGTTGGTTGCTTCATACATTGCTAAATAAATCAATTATTAAACTTGGAATCTCCTATCTCTAGATCAGATTTTCCTTAAAAAAAGGCCACCATATTCGACACTATATTTATAAATAATTTGTGCTGCTCTTTCATCTTTGATTTGTTTATTCTTTTGATTGATCGGAGTATGGTCTGTGGGCGGTTGTGGTTCCAGATAGGATTATCCGGCTGGCTGACTGGCGACTATTCTCTAAGGTGTCAACCCGTAGACTACAGCGATCGACCCCAAACAATGAGGGTGGGTGATCTATCCCCAAATTAACATCGCAAACTTTTACATCGATTCATAAACACATTTTCGAGATATTTCTTTGTGATTAAATTGAAAAGCAATGGATACATTTTCTTCTGCATTTCTCATGCATCCTCTATTATTCTATACAAGTTCATATGACTCGACTTTGTAGTTGCAACTTATATTAACACTAAAATTTCTTCAGTAGTATTAGAATACACTGTAGTTATTGTAATAAGCTTAACACACTTTGATATAGCCGCTTTATGCAATTAATGCCACTTAACACACCACGAAACGTGAACAAAAAAAAAAAGATGACACAGTAAACTACCTTTATTACACGATGACAATTACAACATTTACAAATTCCTTTTTTATTGTTTATTCGATAGTCCAACAGATATACACAGAACAAGTGACACCAGTGACTGTTTATCGACGTAATTCTTGCAAATTGAAAGCAAATCCTCGAAGTTTTCAGTGATACTGGGTCAATCCTGACCCAGACCTATCGTCGAAGCAATTTTTTCAAATTTTTCGAAATATTTAAACGTTGGAGGATTTGCTTCTCAATATTCATTGTACCATGATGATAAAGAATGTTATCTAATTAAAAATTTTGAAAAGCGCAGATGGTGCACGCTTGTTGGTGGTATTACTTCTCCAAATTTACGGAATTCATGGACACGGTAAGTAGACCGCTAATCTCGAATAAATGTTTGCATCGCAATTTATGATTTCTCTTTCCTTCGATAACTCGTGTTGGTCTAAGATTTTTCTTGTTGTACACAAAATTTGTAGATCTTCTTCGTACTGAGGAAGAAGAACGATCACGTGTCGACGTTGCACGTTATTCATCATGGTTGCATGCCAATGTCAGTGTGGTTCGGCGTTAAATTCACACCTGGTACGTACGCGATCTTTTTTTCTAAATTAATTAAAAATATGACAATGATTGTACGAATGCAAATGAGTTGAAAATGTCAACCCTTCTCAGACAGATGGTATCGTACGAAAGGAGGAAAAAACTGCATAAAAACAGAAGTTGAAGTTGACTTAAAATTAACTCATTGCTAACGACGCTTACAAACATTCAACTTCTTCCTTTGTTAGAGCAGTGATTTGCAGTTTTAACGACTTGTCGAGCTATAATAACTAGTAAAAGGGAACAAGAGTTATTTAAAACAGTTTGAAAATTACTTTGAAATTGCATACTTCGTTCAATGACGACTACTGGTGTAACTCGGCCATGATTCTTGGGCCTTGCTTTAAAATCGCCTACAGTCATTGTAACTGAAATACAGAAACAAGTCATGTTTCGTAAATTTAGTTCGATTTTAATTAAGCTTGAATGAAGTTTAATCCTTTTTCCTTGACACTATAGGCAGGTTTCATCTCCATCGGGCCGTGGTACCATTCTGACGAATACGTATTTATTTAACTTTGATGTTTTTCAGGCGGTCACTCTACCTTCTTCGGGCTATTGAACACGTTTGTTCACATCGTGATGTACACGTACTATTTACTGGCCGCGATGGGCCCGAGGGTGCAACCTTACCTCTGGTGGAAGAAGTATCTAACCGTCTTCCAAATGATCCAATTCGTAGTCGTGATGATTCACGCGTTCCAGTTGCTTTTCATCAACTGCAACTACCCGAAGGCGTTCGTTTGGTTGATCGGTCTGCACGCGACCATGTTCTTCTTCCTTTTCAACGAGTTCTACCAACAAAGTTACCAGCAAAGGAGGAAACCTTTGAAGAGGAACCAGCAGAATCATCACGCGAACGGTGTGTCGAACGGAACGATCAGCAACGGAATCAGCAACACCTCCTCGGGAAGAAGGGACGCGGCGGATTATTACGTAAAGGGCGACAGTTTGGCCGCGTCGGAGCTGAATCTTCGAAAATCCTACACGACGACCGAGTGACCTGATCGCGTTACTTCGTGGCCATCATCGATTCGTCTCGTTCTTTTCCATCGATTCACCGAGTCGCAATCCGGGGTATCGTTCTTTCATCTTTCTGATCTGTGACAGGTCTTACGTCGAGATCTAAACGGATAAATCATCGAAGATACGTCGCACCATGGTACACAAGAGTACAAAAATAATTGCTCCGTATTGCGACCACTTTTAACGTGAACTCGTGAGAGGGGAAGAAAGAAAGGGAGGGAGAGAAAGGGAGAATGCGCGTACGAGAGAGTGAGAGAGAGAGAAAGAGATGTTGTATGCACGTATGTATTTAAATGTCACAGTACAAGTGGATGGTCAGTGAATATAAATTATTTGTGATCAGTTGTGCGACTTCGATGAAGTGTAATCGCGCTCACTAGTGATCGTACACCCTCCTTAGTGTTTTGTTAGCCTTCGGTTCACTAACGACCAGCAAACGGAAATACACTTTCACTATGGAATGTCAGCATTCACCGACCATCCGCTTCCACTGTGACAATATACAATACGTACGTTTTACGTATACAGAATGAGGTACTGTATCCAAGGTACACCCGGATGTCGCGACTCAATGTCACGGATTCCTGTTGTCGCGATTCAGGTATCCATGATATATTATTTCGGTTCGCTGTACGTACACCTGCCTCGGCCGATAAGTTAGTTCGTCCATCGATCCAGCCAGTCCCTCTTTACGAGTATGGTACACCAGAAAGCATGAAACTTTTGCTTTATTACGATAAACGTTAGGGACTGAACGCATCAGCTTTTTCTGGTAACATCGCGTTGGTATGAAAACCGAGGGAAGATTATGTAAAAAATAGCTTCGGCGTGAAGATTAGTATCGTCATTATATTACCGACCGTGGTAATTTGGCCCGTGTTACGAGGCAACAACCATAATCGAGGAATAATTGTTTTTTTATTGACCGTGGTGAAATTGCAAGGCTTTCCGCAATGATTCGAGTCTAGCCATAAGTAAAAACTACTCTCACCTACTTCGATCCGGGTGAAATTACTTGATCGAACCCCCTCCTCGTTCTAGCTTCCAATCGTCGACAGTTTTAGATATTGTTAGAATTATTTTTCAATTTATATAATTTTCAAATACTATACAAGACGATAGCAAGACCGCAGAATGTTTTACTGTCATCAGCGGTCGTGCGCCGCTCAAAGATTATATAAAAACAGGGAATTATATAAGAGAGTTAACGGTGTGTCTTGAATCGGGATTACGTAACAATGCCACCGACCGTTATCGTTGCGTAATTCGGGAAGATCTCCTTTGATTCTGTTTTTTTCTTTTCTTTCAATTAGGATACTTCAGGTGTTAGAAAATTTATGATTCATTACACTTATATTGGTGACCTTAATTGGACCGATCTAATAGAATTGTCCACACACTTTCATACCACGGTTTCATGGGTTACATAAACGCCACGGAAACGGGGTTTTAAATTTGCGTGCATGTGTCCAGAATTAAGTTTCACAGAATTACTCAGTTGTGAGTAAAAGAATCGGATCGCATTTCTTGAATAGATTTTTATGGTACTCGTCTAAAATTTTACAAGGTGTTGGTAAAAAGAAATTCGATGGCATAAGAGGTAATTTATCTATGCGGCAGTGGTAAACACGGCTAACCGTAATTCAACATTGTATATAAAATACGTTATCTACCCGATATGTTCGACTCAAAAGCCACTCAGTTAAAAATAAGAAGATAGATATGCTAGGTAAACTAATCATGTATGTACAGCGGATAGTGTGTAATTTAGAATATTTTACTGATTGGCTTTTATGCCGATTATATTGTAGACATCACGAAGCCGCGCAAAGCAAAGGAAACTCATATTTTCAACAACAGACATCCGAGTTTTTGTTTTTAAGAAGACGATTAAGGAAGAAAGCGTCATCCGTGCCTTGCGAGTAAACAAATGTGCCTTTAACGTATATGTAGAATGTTCTTGACGATCGTGCACGAACATCGTTCGAATGCACAAGAACCGTCAGCGAATTGTTGTTGACGATAAACAAAGGGGTTGCGTTTCAATTTTGTAACACGGTTGGCAATGTCGGATCTGTGATTATCGACATATCGCGTCGTTAAACATACGTTGTATCGGGGATGTTAAAGGAAACTCCGGAATTCCCATTTTTCGTGTCCATTCACTTCGTTTACAGTGGCCGACAGATAAGAAAGGACACCATACCCGGATGGTCGCAGAATGGTCACGAAGCGTGGGGAACTAGGAGCTCCCTTTGACACCTCTACGTTATACTGGTCACGTCCGAATTTTCCTTTTCTACGACACCTTCCCTATCACCCACTAACCCAACTTGATCAGGGACCTTCTCTGCTGCTGCTCAACCTCCCTTTGTTTTCTGTTATGTGGTGGAAGATACCTCTTATATGTAGTAGACACTCCTTCTTCCTTGAAGGGAGATGGGGTAGTATGGGATTTTTAAGACTCGTCCAGACCTGTAGACAATTTTTTGTAAGTCTGAGTGAGCCTTTGTTCGCTAAAATCACCACGCCAACCTACCTCGGGCACATCGGGGAAGCTCCGAAAAACACTCCACTGCTACTTGACCTCCCTAGTGCAAGTTGGTCCCTGCGTGGATCTACCTCAGTGTATCTAAATATCTCTCTGCCAATAATTTCGACCGTTATACATTTTTCAAACTTACAATTAGCTCTACCACCGCCTGGAAATTATCTATAGGGTCACTTCCTGGATTGTTAAATGTGTCCAACATGCCAACAGCCGCTTCTGAATGTCCTATTGCTTATTCTATGAACTAGGTAACGGTGGTAGAGTATACTAAAGCTAGTGAGATAAGTCCGGTTACTATACTTAGGAGAATGTTTGAGCAGTAGTTAACAGAGTAATTGTAATTAATAGAGTGGGATAGTACGGTGGTAAAGTAATTTTACTACTAGCCTTCTCCTAGAGCTAGTATCTATTTACTATACCAAGATAGTCTAACGATAAATGTAATAGGACTCCGAGTATAAGTGCACAGTTTAGAGATCTACTATTGTATTGTAGGGTTGCGCAGTATTACTAGACGGTTATTGTACGGGATTCAGGAGTAGTAAGAGAAAATAAAAGCAGGGGAAAGAAGGATAAGGACTCGGACGTGACAAATACATACAAAATTAACCAGCGTGTTTTTCTATTTAAACCGCGAATCTCTGTAGTGCTAAATTGTTGAATCGAATTGTTTAACCTCGTCGTCGGCGTTGTTAAAATTGTTGTTAAAGAGTCAGGGATTGTCTACAAGCGTTTATAATAGTTTAACAAACCGTTTCGAATGGGACACGAGGATCAAAGTTTTATCAATTTCGCACACGTTAAACCTAACAAAGCAAATATTTCTATTTTTCTAAGCGGGTGGTTTGTAATATAGGTCGTTTTGTATATTCCATAAATGAAACGTTTTATGACTGTGAAAAAAAGTTTGGGCGTGTTTCGCGTACTACTTGCTATGCGATATTTAATAACGGATACTTGCTCACCCTTTCGACGTGAAAGGGATTTTATATAGCTGTTTGTATGCTCGAAAGAAACCATTTTTACGTATTGCCGATAGAATTACAACAATTAACCATAACGATTCTCGAACTTTGTATTATAATACCACACAGGCAGACATGTAATCGGATAGCATGGTGACACAAAACGGTTCGCTCGGTGTTTCGTTCGCTTTGCACGTTTCGTACACCCTGTACATAGGTAGGATAGTTTTGTACCGTCGTAAGAAAAATGAGAACAATCATGATTACAGTCATTGCGCCATGCTTTACACTGACGCTAACGTAAAGGAAAAAAAATGAAAAAAAAATTAATAGAAAATAAAATAAAAGAGGGATAATAAAGTCAAGTAACGTGAGTACCGTGCGCATAATAATAATTTATATACGGATTTACATTTAGATATTACGAATAAAAAAATTATTTAAAAAGAATGCAACAACGAAAGAAAAACCTTTTATTATAATTAATGAAACGTTCTGTAAACGCGGCTATGTACATAATAACAATTACAAAGGACATAATAACAAAGGAAAAGTATCGAACATCTATCATGTCTCTACTTATTTCTTTCAAAGGAGAGACAATACATTGTAGAGTAGACCTCCGCATAATACAAATTTTTATAATTTGCGTAACATGAAATGTATCCCCTGTGTTATACTGGGCTCTACTGTACATTCGTGTACAAGAAAGATAAAGAATGGAACGCTTCCATCATTTGCCTTCGATTTTTGAGAGCTTAGCCCATTCAGGCCCACTTGAGTAAATCTACCCCTATCAAAGAGACGTCGAGATTCAAAGGGGTTGTAAAATTGCTGAAGTCACAAAAAGCAATCGTTCTAACGAAGATAAAACCATAGGTCGATACTAAACAAAAAATTGCCTACGTTACCGATATCTTTTAATCGAACAACTCGCAAACATTCCAAAAACATTGTTTTTCTTCTCTTCCCTTTCTTTATTTTTCCTTTTGAAAAATGATAAGTTGTTATGTATTTTTTACGTCTATGTTATATTTAATAGAAAAAATTAGACAAATCCTTTGTGAAAAATAAAGGGAACTGTTTATTATTTATTCACGGTTTTAGTCTTGAACTAAAATTGCAGATCATAATATAAATTTAAAAGAAAAGTAAACATACATCTATACAATTGAACGCCTACAGTAATTAATGTACATAGCATTCAATGGATCCTGACCTATTTTATGAATCAAAAATTTAACTGAAAGAAACTGTTCTTCGTATGCAGAGTACCATGCTTTTTGTCATCAGAGACTTATAATAGTCGCTACGCAATCGCTGAAGTAATTAACATAATGTCATGGTTCAGTGGTGCATAAAAAAGTTATGAATCGGTTATGGTTGGGATACTATCGCCGGAATGAACAATTTCAAATGAATCCGATCTCGGCCATACCGTATAAGAAATTTACATTTATATTTAAATCTACTCAATATTAACGGGAAAGTAATTCGTATAGTTTTTATGTCACAAAACAAAAATAATTCAATTAATATCTTATAATATTTAAATAAACGTAACGACAGTTGATGATACCGAGAATCATTATCACATTTGAATATACATGTGGAAAAAATTGATAAATTACGAAATCCGTTCAGCTGTTGTTTCGTTCTATACGAATCAAATTTTAAAGTTGAAAACCACTGGGGCAATATGTAGATACTTAGCACTCTGAAATTGTCGAGAGTTAACTACCGCGATCATCTGATCAACTTTTGTAATTAAATTTCAAAAGAATAATACTCTGTTAACTTCTACTCTTCTGCCAATAACCAATTAAACATTTATATCAACAATATAAAAATGATCGAAACGTTGTGAATTTAACAACTACAATTACACATTTTTACAAATACAAATGTAACTTTTGGCCAACGGTTCAGATAACTACAAAATAATTTAATTTACTTTAGTAAATTTGGGTCACAACTAGCCCGATATCTACCGTTTCCTATACAGTAACTATGCGGTATACACAATGATAAAGGTATTTTGAGACAAATGAACAGAGGTCGCTTGGTTTCTGTACATTAAATTATTAATTAACCGAGATACCGGAACGCGAGCAACATCTGGTTGAGAATCACTGTAACATCTTCTGCTGCGCGTCAATGCCCGAACTGTCAAGATCGTTCGACCACCATCCGCTACCACCTACGATAAGCTTGTTTAGCACGCAAGATATTACTTTTTCTTGAGATAAATTTGTGTATAACATCTTGTGACGCATCGTAAATACTAGTGCCGCGCGATTAGTCAGCGCCAACCACTGACTAGCGCGGTACATACTTTTGGAGCTGACGGACTAACGTCGTACTCGAGTGCAAATGACTACATGTCAAAGCCAGTGAGCGGTGTACTTTGAGTATATTTTTTTCTACCGGTGGAGTAAGATTTTGCTCCGAACGATTGAAAAATGTTGGCTCTCATTAATCGGATCCTGGACTGGTTTAAATCCCTCTTCTGGAAAGAGGAAATGGAACTTACTCTTGTCGGCTTGCAGTACAGTGGAAAAACCACCTTCGTAAATGTTATAGCGGTACGAAAAATTTCTTCAGTTGTTCCATGTTTCTAATCGATACTTTTGTCTTCGATCCTTTTTAATGAAATACATTTTTAATGGATACTTTGTTCGTCCTAGAATTCTTTGAATTCATCCTAACGAAGCCCCAGAATATGCACCGTTTTGGTTAGATTCTATACCTCGTTCGAAATAATTCGTCATCGGTATAAATCTCGAATCCGCCCTTGTATGAAAATTTCTTATATTCATGTGGTAATTCTTGTGTTAATTTTTTATTTTAAAAATATGCTCCTATTCATTAGCATGTTTCTTCTTTATGCAGATAAACGTAGGTGGCAAATATAATTGCATCAAATATATAAACATCTGCTCTCTTTTAATAGGTGGTGTACTGTTTTGAAATGTCTGCTTTTATAAAGTATGTCCTTTTCTTTTTTAGTCAGGACAGTTTAGCGAGGATATGATTCCCACAGTTGGGTTTAACATGCGTAAAATTACAAAAGGCAATGTCACTATAAAGGTATGGGACATTGGAGGCCAACCAAGGTTTAGATCTATGTGGGAAAGATATTGCAGAGGAGTAAATGCAATAGTATATATGGTAGATGCAGCTGATGCTGAGAAAATAGAAGCAAGTCGCAATGAGTTACACAATTTGTTAGATAAACCACAGCTCTCTGGTATACCAGTGCTGGTTCTTGGCAACAAAAGGGATTTACCCCATGCTCTTGATGAAAATGGGCTTATAGAAAGAATGTATGTGCATTCTTTCTTGTATTTTAAATGAGACAATATATAAAACTGTCAATTAACATAATATGTTTATATTTCAGGAATCTATCAGCCATTCAAGATCGTGAAATCTGTTGCTATAGCATTTCATGCAAAGAAAAAGACAATATTGATATAACATTGCAGTGGCTTATAGCACATTCTAGAAGTGGTGTTCGCTAATACGCATAACAAGTTTTACATTCTCGTACATTCTTATCAAAAAGCCCAAGACATTGATAGCAGAATGGGGATCAAATGTGCAAGGGAGTGTTCAGCAATGATTTTATTCTGAATTGATTGATTGATTAATTAATTACTGTAGAAAATTTTTTTAAATCTAAGCTTTAGCCGTTCTTCGTTCAAAATGTATAAAACTCATAGAAAATTTAATGAAAAACAAAAAAAATTGTATTTAAACCAAATACGCTCATATAAATGATAATGAGACACATACATTCTTTGAGCACCTTAGGAATAAGTAAAAATTTTTTATATTGTGTTTTTAGCTGATCAGTTAAGTAACAGTACCGTTGTTCTATCCTAAAACCATCGAGAAAAAAAAATATAACATTTAAAAGTTAACGTAGAGACGATGGTAGCTAGTATGAAATACAAACGCAAAATATCAATTATCATATAGTACACACTTTCAGAATGATTTAATTAAGATTAATTCATCACGGCATAGAGATTACAAATAATTGATTGCTATATGTACTTACACAAATATGATGCTAAGTAAACTTGTATAATTAATGGAGAATTATTAACAATATTATACCAATTTATTATGATCCTTAAAATATGACAGTTGTGTTATGTATATACACGTATATATATGAAGAGGAATAAAATGATGTAATCCATTTTTTAAATGGAATGGCTTACCTTTACAAAAAGTTTTTACTATCGTTATAAAAATAAGAATAATCAAATACTTTACGTCTTTAAATTGACAACATTAAGCAGAAAATTTTGAATCATTTTATGGTATTATATATAGAAATTTCATTGGTTGATACTTGTGACGTCACAGCATAATCGATTTCACCATGTCGAGAATCGATTCATTCCCGCAGGTTGATTTGTTGCAGTACGCAGTACGCAGTACGATACAGCATAAGCTTGAGAAGAGGTTTTGTGTGTCTAAAAACAGTATACATAATAAAATATTTATCTAAACATTTAACATGCCATCGGCAAACGATGAGGATCCTTATGCGCATGTAGCAAAAGGACCCTTAAAGCTAAAAAGTGATCAATGTGTAAGCAAAAAGTACGTATATAGACGTCAAATTTTATTTTCGTTTTAGGTTAAGTCGAGTTATACTAAATTTGACAGATGTCTGATAACTCTGAATGTTGTTAATTGTACGCGTAATTAACTTAATATTAAACATATTATAAATTCCAATTAATTTTATGATTATATTTATTCAAAATTAGGAAGAAAAATAAAGAAGGTAAGAAGAAAAAATTGGTGGAAGTGACAAAAGTTTTAGAGGAAGAAAAGAATAATACAGTGGAAGTTAAACGAACGAAAGCCGAATTAGCTTTTCAAACGATGCAAGAGAAAATGGTAATGACTTAGTTTTTAAATTTGTACCTAAAAATTAATAAGTTCATTATCCACAGTCATATGTTTAATTGTTTACAGCAAACTGAAAGAATAAAACAAAAGGCTTCCATGACACATAAACAACGGGTAGAGGAATTTAATAGACATTTGGATAGTTTAACAGAACACTTTGATATACCCAAAGTCAGTTGGACAAAATAAATTGTTTGCACCTTTTCTTATTTTATATTTTATTCATACATGCATAATATAAATATAAATAGTATAAAATTAAATGTAATCTTATATAAAATTGTACTTTATTACAAAAATTTGTAAAAAAAAGTATAATTAAACTTTAGATCTCTATATAATATAGCAATTTTAAAATGTATGAGATTTCTGTACTTTTAATTTATATGACCAATATTGAAGATTCACTCTTTAAAATATGAATAAGGCACTTTTTTGTAAATGTATTCTACATTGTAACATATATAAATATAATATATCATTTTGTTACAACATATAAGCACTAAAAATTTCTATGTACTTGGCAATATACATTATATAATTGTAAATATAAATTCAGTACATGATTATTCTAATAAATTTTATATACATAAAATGGACGGATTTAATATTAGCACATATTAGAGGTACAAAAAGTTATTAGCTAAAATCGAAATTCTAATCTCGTAAATGTAACAAAATGATGTAATAAAAAAGTATCAATATACTATGTGATTATAAAACGTATACAAATTACGTTAATTATTAACAATAAGGACGGATATGAAAATGATATTTTTATACCTCCACTTCCGTAATGGAATACTTGGATATAATTTTCAGTTTCTACCCAAGGATTAGATCCATCATCAAAGTACATTGGACATCGATCGCGTTCTCTTTCGTATTCCTAAATTATAAAATATGTTATTCAATATTTAATCCAGAAATAATGGAGATATTTCATATTACCTGTAATTCTAATGCAACTGCAGCACCCTCGGTATAATTACTACTTGTAACATCTTGTTTGAGATCACAGAACGGTCCAATAGCTTCAGACATAAGGACTTTGTTTAAATCTGCTCTTTGATATACCCAACAACGATATTTGCTGAAAGGATCTAGCTCATCATGCGTTATTAAGTACGATTTTAGATTTTCTTTCCAAAATCCGATGCATTTCATTTTATAATCCGGCAAACCTGTACATTTCAAGTTAAACATCAAACATATAATTTTCATTATTTCTAATATGGAAATTTAAACTTACTGTAAATGTCTACAGGTCTTCCTAAATGATCTACTGACAAACAGTAGGTTTCATCAATAGCAATTTCCTTTTGATCAGTATCGCATACAGAGAAATCTGAAATATTTTGTTTACAATAGATATTTGGACGAGGTGATAATGTAACACCTCCTAAGATTCTAGTTTCGAATAACACATCTCCTTTCTGGTGAAACATATATTTTCCAGCGACAGGACAACGTACCGGTACAGGATTCTTGGCTAAACGTACAACAAACATTGATAAAAGAAAATGATTAAGTGCATTTACCTGTAAAGTATATGTTTTAGTACGAACCTAAAAATAAATCGTACTTCCAAGCTTCTTTGTTGGGGAATTGAACCCAAGAGCAAACTGTAGGAAAATTGTCTTTAATAACTGCAATACCCCGCCGATATCTTATAATGTTGTGATGTCGACGTACGAAATCGAAACAAACATAATCTTTCTGACTGAAAAGGAAACATCAAAATTCCCAAATAAAACATAATCAGACACGTATTCTACTAAATAATATTAGATATTCGTACCATCCATCAACAGTCAATCTTGCCATCATTACCCTTGTATCTTTTGCTTCGCGGCAAACATAAATTGTACGTCTGTAACGACCTTCATCCGGGTACCAAGTTTCAATGATATGTGTTTCGTTAATAAAAATATCCGCATCAATGTTGGCAGTGTTTATCCATTGTCCACTCATGTCCTCTGGTAATCTACATCCTGGCTCCACAACTTCTGCTTTAACAGGTGTTACTCTTAATCGTTCTGGACTTTTTTCAACAGTTTTTAATGTATTACATTCGGCAGTGATAGATACTCCAATATATAGATCATCATCACGATTTTTTAGGAAACATCGATATTTTTCATCTTTCCTAGATTCTTTTGTATTTGCAACCGCGAAAAAGTGATTTTTGTCAACAAACCAGTCACCCAAACAATTATATTCTACCACTGAAACATTTCAAAGACAAAGGTAACAAACAATAGTGTAGAAATTCTGCAGTGAAAAATTCATTAGAACAATGGAAATATTACCTCCATCAAAAGTGTCTTTCATACCAGGACACTGTTTATATGTTATATTGAATTTTTGATTGGTTATTAAAAATTGTGTTCCTGCAGTTTGACACGATCGAATTTGTGCATCAGGATGATTACATTCTCCTGTGAACCTAAATCTATTCTATAATAACAATGGAAGAATTAAGCTTTTGTTCATAAGTACTCCATTGCTTTATTGTCAAGTACTTGCCTGATATGCAAATTGCCAAACACCTTCAAGAGATGATCTACAGTTTACAGGGACATAATTCTCTGAAAATAATGTTATTAACTGTTGATCAGGTCTTAATCCTTTACATACATTTTTCACTGTTGGTTCAACATTATCAGGCAAATTCACACAACTCACTAAAACAACAATTATAATGTACTATAAGTAAATCATGTTAGCATATTTATTGTTATTATCAAATGTTTTAAAATTACTACCTTCAAGTTTTTCCAATACATTAACTGTTCTAACAATTAACTTAACACAATGATAACATTTATCATGTTGGAATACAAATGTATAATTAACATGATATTCTTCTAACATATTTACACAATAGCCACGGTTTGTCATTGATTCAGCATTTATTTCTGTTAAAGTATTCCTGCCATTTTCCCATGAAAACCATGATCCTCTTATAATTAATGGAATTTGACATGAGCTTGAATCTTGAAGGGAAGGCATAACTGAAAAACACATATATTAATATTAACAATATAAAATTCTATATTGTATTTAACTAACAAAACTAATTCGTTAGTTCAGTAAAATCTCTAAGAATATAGTGATTGCACCATAGCTATAAGGAATCATATATACATCTTTTCTACTGTTTTACTGCAATTTAAATTGTTATACTATATACATATGCATAAAAAGTACGATTTAATAATTCGCTTAAACTTACCTTGCCACATAAAACATGCGGCAAATAAAAATAAATATAACTTTTCTGTCATCGTGTCATTAAATGAAGTTATAGTGTAATGGAACAGAAAGTGTATTTTGACTATAACGAATTCACAGCGCGTGAAAAAACATTTCCAACGCCCATCTCACTCATAAAGCAATGACTACAGATCCAAGACTAGATATGCTTATTTTCAAGGGGCTTTGAATTTGTGCCCCGAGAACGAACGCCATCTGCTCTACCCCACTGATCTATATCTACATGAAGCTAGCCGGAGGGAATAATAAAATATGATTATTTTTAATTTTTCTTAGTGTATTTCGTTTGTAAATCGTTTGTGATTGATTGTGAGTCTATTTTTAACGTTTGTAACAAATTAATTCTTTTGTAATTAGCAATTTTATTTCAATTTTTTATAATAAACAGATTTCGTGATAACTGATAACTGATTTACAAATATATCATTTTCAATGTTTGTGAGTGAATAATTTCTTAATTATTTACAAGTTTGTTTTATAATAAATAATTGTAGTGCGCATGCGGTACAGATCCGATCGTACCCATCACTACCCCGAACAAGTGAGTTTCACGATTTGTTCGTTCTTAGGTCTTATATTTCGCTAGATCCGGTCGTACCCATCACTAATCCGAACAAGTGAGTTTCACGATTTGTTCGTTTTTAGGTCTTATATTTCGCTAGTTCCTTCGGGGTCCCTGACACCCCGGTGGCATAATATCGGTATGCAGCGTCACCAGTACCACGGGGTCTCAGATACCCCGAATGCTGTAGTTCGGTAACCAAAGAGTGTCATCGGTGCTTCGGGGTCCCTGACACCCCGGATGCCAAAATGTCGGTATGCAAACAGTGTGAGGGTGCTCAGGGGTTCCTGACACCCCAAGATGATATTATGTCGGTATGCAGGGACAATCACTGGTGCTTCGGGGTCCCGGACACCCCGGTGGCATAATATCGGTATACGGCGTCACCGGTACCCTGGGGTCTCAGATACCCCGAATGCCATAGTGTCGGTAAGCAAAGAGTGTCATCGGTGCTACGGGGTCCCTGACACCCCGGATGCCGAAATGTCAGTATGCAAACAGTGTCACGGTGCTTTGGGGTTCCTGACAACCCAAGATGACATTATGTCGGTATGCAGGGATAGCCGCTGGTGCTTCGGGGTCCCTGGCACCCCGGATGCTATATTATTGGTATGCAAAGATAGTCACCGGCGTTTCGGGGTCCTTAATACCCCAATATGATATCAGCTCGGTACGCAGACGAGGCCATTGGCGCAGCGGGGTCCCTAATACCCCAAGATAATATCAGGTCCGTATAAAGAGGGCACAACCAGTATAATTTGTTTCCAGAGTTTATTTAATTTAACTCATTAATGTTTTTTGCTTATTAAATAAGCTCATCGAAGGGGAATAACATTTTTGATCAAATCCCTCTTCTGGGTCTCAGTCGAGGACCTCATTTATTTTACTTTCTCCAGTTATTTATATAATTTTATCCCTCATTATAGGCCAAGGCCATCTCAGTATCCCTTACATCCCTGCATTCCTTCCATCCCAGCATTCCTTACATTCCTGCAACCCTTAAATACGCTTTTTTTTTTTTTTTTTTTTTAACGTGGTGGAAATCTTCAGAAAGACACCTTCAGCCCCCCTGGGGAGGGGCCGAAGGTAGTGTGGGATTTTTACCCACTAAAACCACCACGGTGGCCTGCTCTAGGGCGGTAGGGAGGGTCCTCCGACCCTCCGCCATGTGCCCAACTCCGCCGACATCGGGGGCCACACCCGATGCCGCCACTCCTCGGGCCGCGCCCAGTGGAGACCGGAGCCCCAGCCCCGGGCCCCTACGGAGTTCCTTTACATCCCTGCATTCCTTTCATCCCTACATTCTTTTCATCTCTACATTCTTTTCATCCCTACATTCCTTACATCGTTTCCTCCCTTACTTCCCTACATTCTTTTCATCTCTACATTCTTTTCATCCCTACATTCCTTACATCGTTTCCTCCCTTACTTCCCTATATTCTTTTCATCTCTACATTCTTTTTATCCCTACATTCCTTACATCGTTTCCTCCCTTACTTCCCTACATTCTTTTCATCCCTACATCCCATACATCTTTTCATCCCTTAAATCCCTACATTCTTATTATCCCTACTTTCCTTACATCGCTTCATCCCTTACATCCCTACATTCTTTCCACCCCTACATTCCTTTCATCCCTACATTCCTTACATCGCTTCATCCCTTACATCCCTACATTCTTTCCACCCCTACATTCCTTTCATCCCTACATTCCTTACATCGCTTCATCCCTTACATCCCTACATTCTTTCCACCCCTACATTCCTTTCATCCCTACATTCCTTACATCGCTTCATCCCTTACATCCCTACATTCCGTACATCTCTTCATCCCTTAAATCCCTACATTCTTATCATGCCTACATTCTTTCCACCCCTACATTCCTTATATCTCTGCATCCCTTATAATAAATATATTATAAAGACTGCTTCGAGTAAAGGTAAGTTAATTCCTTTTTCGAAAAACAGCGCCCCCTAGCGGCAAAAATGTGAACTAAAATGTCGATGTCGAATCAGCGCCCTCTGGTGGCGGAAAAAGGAACTAAATCATGCTTCGTTTCTGGCCCTCTGGCAGCAAAAACGTGAACTAAAATTTCGATGTCGAATCAGCGCCCTCTGGTGGCGGAAAAAGGAACTAAATCATGCTTCGTTTCTGGCCCTCTGGCGGCAAAAATGCGAACTAAAATTTCGGTGTCGCGTCAGCGCCCTCTGGTGGCGAAAAAAGAAACTAAACCAGGCTCCATTTCTGGCCCTCTGGCGGCAAAAATGCGAACTAAAATTTCGACGTCGAATCAGCGCCCTCTGGTGGCGAAAAGCGGAACTAAATTTGTATAAAATCGCAGACTTATAGCCGCAAAAATTTCAACTCAATTTCAGGGAGGTACTGCGATGTATGGAATGCAGGAATATAAGTGATACAAGGATATAAAGGATACAGGCATGTAAGGGATGCAGGGATGTTGGGATATAAAGAAGGCAGGAATGTGAGGAATGCAGAGATGTAAGGGATGTAGAGATGTGATGAATACTGAGATGTAAGGGTTGGTGGGATGTAAGGAATGCAGTGATATAAGGGTGCTGAGATATAGTGGAATCAGAGATATAAAGGGTGCAGACGGAAGTAATAAAATCAACACGTTCTTCCTCCCAAGGAGTTTATTCAATAAGCTAAGAAGATAATTACAGCAAATTAAATGAACGCAGAAAATAAAATAAGGGTATATGTATGTATTTAGGTCTGATCTATAGATCAGTGCTAAAACTACTCAACAAGTTACCGATTGATTTTTCGCAACATGGGACACTATCGCCCTCTGCCGGGAAGTAATTCAAGTTACTTACCGACTTAACATACAGTAGCCGGTAAATTAATCTTGTGGTTTCAACCATTCTTGTATAGATGACGCTAGGATCGAATTTAAAAAATAATTTATGGCGATTTTTTTAAAATACAAATTTGCCAAACAATTATTTGAATAATTTTTCAGTCTTTATTTCATAAAAAAGTAGAATCTAAAGGGGCCAAAAATTAAAAGAGACTCTGGTAAAAAAGGCACGACTGTCAAGCCAACCGTGCTCTCTAAATATAGATTTAACCTCACCTGTGGTGCATTGTTCATTATGAAGGCTTCATCTGGCAGCGGTGCTTGTAATTCTTCAAACTTGTAATAATCCTTTACAACATATCTTTCCTGTAACCAAAACTGAGTCTAGATCAGTTAAAACAAAATAGCTGATAATTCTGTTGGTTGAATTTAAATGACTTAAGAAAATAATTTTCGCTGAAACTATGATAAGAGGATAGTTTTTAATAATAAAAAATTGAATAATACTTCAAAGGTTGAAGTTTTACAATATTTGTTGTATTCTATAATGTAAAGTATTTGCTTTGTTTAATAACGCACGTCTGTATGCACATAGAAGTTGTTCTGTATAACGGAAATGTTATCAGAAAACTATCTTTTCCAATTAGGCATGCTTCTATAAGTACCAAGAGTTTGAGTTAACAAGTATTACATGGTGTTACTATATAGCTAGTTGTAAATTATATTAGAAAAGTAATTTTCCTTACAATTATTGTTTTCAATAAGCTTATACAAAATTATTTATTTTATAATGTCATATAATGATTTATTTGCAACTCAATTTTGTAAACAAAGTGATTGCATAATAAATAAATTGTTAATTAAGTATTGATTACAATAGTAAAAGTGTAACATTCATAAAGTACTATTGGATGTATCATCAAGAACAATGACAAACACAGAAGCAGTTGAAAATATGACAATTTTAGAACCATTGAGATTGAGCCATACTAAACCATCCTTTACTGCTCAAGAATCAGCTATAGCTTCACGTCAAGACTTATGGCACAAATTCATTCTCTTTGGTATTGGACAATATAAAGCAAAGGAAGTATTAAGAGTAATCATTCTTGCTTGCGAACCTGAAATAATTCTGCCTGTTATGTACAAAGAAGAAGAACCAAATAAGAGTAATTTCATAGCAAAGTGTAACTCCAATGCTATAGAAAAGCTAGTGAAGCAAGGCTTATGTATAGCTTTGCCAAATGGACAAGAGTTGCGCATAGATATTGTGTTGGGATACTTAAATTCTCAGGATCTACAATTAAATCCAAACAGAGTGATAGCCCAAGCATTATATTATAGATACGAGCCAACTAAAAAGGTATTGAATCTTGATGATTTTGAGAATGAAAAATCACTAGGCTCTATATTTTGTCCTATATCTTTGCCTAAAGTATTGCACTTTGTTCTAAGATGTACTAAAATGGGAATTTTAAGTAACAATCGTGATTCAAAGTTACCTGTTAGAGAATTAAGTTTAAGATATAATAAAATCACAGCCATTGTTCTTCTTGAAAAATTCTTTAACTACCATTTAACAAAATTGGATCTAAGGCACAATCAAATTGGTGATGTGGAATATTTAAGGTATTTTAGTGAATTCAAAATAAGCGAACTTTGGTTGGATGGAAATCCATTATGTACAAAATACAATAAATGTCAGGACTATGTACAAGCAGTTAAAAATGTTTTTCCTCATTTACAAAAATTGGACGGAATTGTAATAGGTATGGAGCAAAAATTTGTCCCTAATATTCAGAGTACTTTTCTAAGAGATGGTACAAAAACTTGTCTCATCAAACAATTTGTAAAGCATTATTTCACATTGTATGATCAAAATGATAGACAAATAATGAATGGCTTATACGATAGAGATGCTCTTTATTCTATGACACTAGGACCTGTGTCAAATTATGTTCATAAACAGTTAACTAAAACGTTTGGGGCAAATAGGAATCTACTTAAATTTGTTGACTATGCCAAATGTCAAGACTTTTTATTACGTGGTCCAGAGAAAATTATATCAACATTTAGAAGTCAACCACCTACTATACATCATTTAAAAACATTTCAAGTAGATTTACTACATGAAGGGGAATTGCATCTTGCAATTTCTGTACAAGGATTATTTTCATTTAGAGAAGTTTCATGTCCACCAATGTTTTTCAATAGAACTTTCATTATCATGAAGAAAGAAGATGATGAATATTGTATTACTAACGATCAGTGTTATCTTGATGGAACACCTGCTAATAGTAATTCATCAGGAACACATAACAATGAAGTAAAATTTGAAACAAAAAGTGCACCAAAATTTGTTCCAACTGTTTTTAGTGTTTCTGAGAAGGATCAGTTACTTACGTTTCTACATGAACTGACTACAATGAACATGAAATATTGTCACCAATACCTTGAAGATGCCAATTGGGATATAAGAACTGCTATCACAACGTTCATGAACATGTACACAGTTAACAATGTACCTCCAGCAGCTTTTTTATGACTTGTTAGACGTACCTTAGTCTATTGTATATACTTATAATATTATTTATAATATGTTTGTAATACAATAAGAACATTTTGTAACCTCAGGTACAAATTTATGTATGTTCTAAATGTTATTTATAATTTGTTATTATAACAATTTCATCAGTATTTTTCTAACACTGATGACCTATTACCTGAAGAAAATAAAATAAGTAACATTTTTATGAGAAAAAATTTATTTTATTTTATTTTATACAAAATAAAAAATTACGATTTTTTTTATAGTATTAACAACCTTGCTGTGTATTTAACAGAGCAATGGTTTTATTTATATATGGTATAGTATTCACATTTGAATTTACTCCTAATTCAAATACCTTCTGCATCAATGGTAAAGCATGTTCTGAAACAACATAAGCGTGTTTATTAATAATCAATAAATATATTATTAAAAAGAGCGGTAAGATAAACTCAAAAATGATAATAATTTACCTTGCATACATAATACAATTTCTGGTAACTTCTCCAAAGCTGACATTAGAATATCGGCTCTAGAACTATCCAAACACCTTTGAAATGCAGACAATATATTTGTATTTGATTCAGGACGATGTTTTAATGCTCTCGCTAATAATGTATGAGCAAGAGATCTTATATTACTTTGTGGGGAGACAAGTAACTCTGCTATATTGTCTGTTACTGATTCCAAAACTGAAGGCTTTCGAGACGATAAATGCTCGATTTCCTGGAGAGCACTAAATACATCTGAAACAAATACACGTTTATTGGATTGTAATATATTTATCAAAATTAAAATGTTTCTTATAATTATACCTTCGCCTTGCATTTTAGATAAAGTAGCTAACAACGATGGCCAATGTTGTGGGATAATGGGTTCCAATGGCGGAGGAGTAGGAGGAATCGTAATTAAAACCTCTTCAACATCTTCTCCTTCCTTTAACACTGGAATACTCGACACAAGCGTTCTAAGCGATACTAAATTTGGATAGTGTGCCTGTAATTCACTATATGTAAGTGTAAGCTAATGTCTAAAGTTTATCAAAAGAGATTAAAGCTGTTACTTACTGAAGAACCTGAGCGTGTTTCTGCAAATATTTCAATGCTCGTTGTGGATCATAAGAGATGTATCCCTGCAGTAGTGTAATAAACCGATTTAATAAAGGTATGAGATCCTTTACCGGTCCGTAATTCTGAAAATAAAATCGAATTACAAGTGTCGAGTTTTGTCAAATTTTATAATATCCGAGTATCTCATGACATACTTGAAAACATTGAAAATAATTCTCAAGTGTGTCTTCCAAAGCAGTTTGATGTTCTTCGTTAAACAAATGTGGTTGTAACAGTTCTAACAGTCCCATTATTTGTACAAAAAGATTTAAATGATGGCCTGATCTAAACTGGCTAAAATCCAAATAACTTCTTCCCATTAACGATGATGCTAACATTGGAAGTTGTCGCAACACTAAAATAGGGTGCACAGCAGCCATTTTTCGAGCACACAATTCGAAATCCTGGGATTTCGAATTCCAGGACTTTTGTCTTGGTGTTGCTGCTAAAGCTGTCAACAATGAATGGCTCATGCAATCCAAAACAGAACCAGTCCATTTTGTAATCTTTGCTCCTCCGACAAACTTTTTAGTTTGAAAAGTGTCCAAGTAACATATCACTTTTGGTATCTTCATGTACATATGTAATAAAAACTGGTGTGCCATATCAGAATCTATGCTGAAAATTAAACACACAAATTTATATACAGAAGCATTTATCGAAGAGAAGAAATAACTCTGAAATAAACATACTCTGAATCATTCATCATACGTTCAGCCAAGTATTTTACAACACTAGATACTAAATGATCATCAGTGGAAACGCAATGTAACAATAAATCAAGACGAGAATCCATTCGAGCAACTGCGGCGTTCCTATTTTGACAATTGCATATGATAACAGCTTCTGCCACTAAATATGCCACCAATGTCAATAACTGTTTCTCGTGTAAAAGTAAAATATTTTCAGGCACATAATGCTTTGGCGTAAACTTGTCTCTGCCTTGCCAAAGTTTTGGATTACAAGTTAACGCCCATAGAAAATCTAAAACAGCCGTAGGATCATACCTATAAAAAGAATATTTTTCATTATTTTAATACAATATTCCTGAAATTTCAATTATTTTTTCACTTACCCCTCATCACATTTATCTAATAAATGTCCGATACATTTGTACAAAGTTGCCCAACTAGCTCTGTGTGTTAATAAAGTTAATAAATAAGGTCTAAACGAATGTGAGCTTACAATGTTGTTATCAACTTTCATTTGTATTTTCGTTTTTCCAAACAGAAGCTTCATTTGAAGAGTTGGGCATGTACCAATTAATTCCGGTTCTACAGATGCTAACCAATCAATTAATAAACCTGTCCGTGGTTTTAAAATACCCTCGTTGCTATCGTTTACTAATAATCTTGCCATTGCTTCAACAAGAACATCAGTTTTCTGTTGTTTCAAGCAAATATCTAATAACTTCCTTCCAACCGCTTCTAAATTTACAGGATCTGTACTTTCTAAGATAGAGCCAGGATCTCGATTTTGCATCAACATTGTTAATTCCATGCTTTTTGGTGTCTTAGTTAATTGAACATTTGCGAAGTCTCTTAAAATGGATAAAACTGGTGCTTTTATATCTCCGATCAGTTGTATTAAATTCAAACACATATTTCGTGTCAATTCGACCACTTGTTTTGAAGTAGATGATTTTTTTAAAGGTAACAATATTATCCGCATTAATGTACAAGAAAACTGTGGCATATGAACAAGTGAAGCTAAAAACTGTTTAACTTGCATTGAACTTAATACACTGTATATGTGTTGTATCGCCAAGACAACAGCTCCGCTTTCTTTTGCAGATTTTTGTAAATCTTTCGCTAAGGTTTTGTGCAATCGACGATACGCGTCTACTTTTTGATTCATTGGTATATTTTCGATAAATAATCTGTTGATCAAATGCGGCACGTCTGTCTTAACAGAACATTGTATGACAGACTGTTTTTGAACCATAACGCTAAGAGGCAGTGGTTCTTGTAAATGTCCAACAGTCACTGCATTTTCATCGGGTAACTGTGGCTCCAATAATTGTAAAACTTGTACAAAAACAAGCCCACCCGTGGCTCCTCTTCTATGTTGAACTTCAACTAATTGTGCCATGTAAGTTTTATCTAATACCGCCTCACCAACTGAACTCGGATCGATTTGCACGCCAGCATCTAAAGTATGAAGTAATTTAGTCATCGAGGGTACAGGAATACCGAAACTTTGAATAAAAAGAACCAACTGTTGTGGTTCCAAGTCCTTGAGAGCTGCATCTATTAAACGTGGCACATTACTCCTAATCATTCTTAACTTCAACCAGTCCGGTATGAGCAATGCTTCTTCGCTAGTGTCGACAAGAAAAGCTTTAGGTGGTTCTGAATTTAATGGAAACCACGTTTCTAATAGAACGTCGAACAGTTCATCGTCCTCGGAATTGTAAGTTAAGAGAATTATCATTGCGTGAACAACTAGAATATGCATTGTACATTCTTCTCCTGTACTCCATTGCACCAATATTTGATCCTGGCTCTCAGACCACGTGTACTCTTCCGCTCTCGGAGATCTAGCTTTTTCTAGGTAATTGCAAATAATTGCCATGAAAGCGTGTAAAGTTTGTTTAGCTTGGGAGTTGTCAATTTCTGGCTGTGGTAAAATAGCTGCTATTATTGTGCTTCGTTCAACCACTAATTGAGATATTTCGTTCGCTAAATCGGTCAACTCGGGTAAGTCATCTTCTGTAGTATGCGCAGCAAGATAGGATATATAAGCGTGTACAAGATCAGGATTGTTTTCAACTTGACAAGCTCCACGAAGCGCCGTGGAAACCAAAGACCGTACTGATAAAAAGTGAGGTATAGACGGTAACTTTCGAATAAGCCAGACCTCCCTAAAACAAATATCCATTAATTATACGTTTAAAGTAATATTATGACAGATAATTATTTGTAACATTACTTTTCATTTTCCCCGTCTATGTCCATAGGCTCTTCTTCGGTAGGTATAGACCCAAGAACCATTTTTAGGCCTGTAATCGCTTGAAGACGACTACCAGTTTGTTGGCTACTCAATCTTCTTAAGAAATATTCTAAAACCTCATAAGCATGTTGTCGGTCTTGTTCCGGGTCGGTCAACAACATCTGAAGATGAGCCAGTAACTGCTGTTGTCTTGGTTGTTTCTCCACGGTTTGAGCACTGGTTGATAATAAAAATTCGCAGAGGCATTGTACAGGTAATTGACTAAGAGATCCTTCACTGTTTTGCACAAGATCTGCTAACCAAGGCATACTTTGCGAAGAACTTTGTTGTTGCCTTTGTATTATATCTAACAAGAAATCTGGCTTGCGAGACCGACACAATAAGTGTCCCAACCTGTGGGACACATTTAAAGATTGTATTTGTTCCAATACCGCTGGAGGTGGTCTCCTAGCAATGCCAGTTGGTTCCATCGTCATCAGTTGTGACAATAACAAGCTATTCTGTTCCGATATTTGTATTCTCGTTGATGCAGCGGCTAAGTGTGATTCATATTCCAATATTTCCTGCTTTTCAATAGCTTCAACTTGCAATTCTTTCGAACGTTCTTGTTCTATGATTTCTGGTAAAGCCATCGTTGGTGGAGGATACGAGAAGTGACTGTAAAATAATATCGCATTAATATAATGAAACTTTTACATCGTACACATACCTTTAAATTTGCAAAAAATTTCAAACACACTTAGTAATACACATTTCCATAAGCGTTCGTAGAATGGGATATCGTTTCCATGCAACAGCACCAATAGTAGATGGATTGTGAGCAGCTAATATCAATAACATTATCCATCCTTTCCAATACAAATTCGATATTGCTAAAGTTGGTGGAACATAACTACGTAAAAGAAATAAATAATTAATATAAAAATATTAAATCAATTTTTAAGTATTATAAATATGTTTGAATACTTTGATGGTATGTTTATAGTTCCTGGAGGTTGATAAATACAAAGATTGAAAATTAATTCAATTATATTTAATTTATCCGCTTGTAATGTCGGAAAACTTTCTGTCGAATTAACTGCTGCTCGTCGTATTAATTGATCTACCAAATCTAAAGTTTCCGAATGCGTGATACCATTTTCCTTAAACACAAAATATTAAATTAGATATTTTAATATAAGACACGATAAATAAATTGGACACTTACTTTTGAATAACCAAGTAGTAACAGTTTTAATAATGTATTCTGTAATAGAGGAACATCAGAGATTAAACGAAGATAAAATACTCTATCAGATTCAGGAGGCCAATTGTCCAACTTATAGTACTGTTCTGGAGATTCAAGCAATAAAATTTTATGCAAAGCATGAAGGAGTTCATTTTTTCCAATAGAATACGTTTGAGGTGCTGAATTCTGCAACCATAATACAGCTTCGAATTGTATTGTTGCTACCATGTTCTGAAATTGATGTAACAAAGCAATGTCCTTTTTGTCGCCTCTTTGTGCTAATGCCGCGGCTTCTTTGACTTGAGGACTGATAGCCAGTAACATACACAAGCACAATAAATCGGCGATTGAAATGAAGACTCGTTCTTTAAATTCAAAATTAAGCAACTGTTGTGCTATATCTTGTCTTTCGGTCATTAACGTACGCGCAAAGATAAGTAAATTAATATCGTGTCGACAGACACGTACGATTTCTCGGAGCAAAGCGCGCAGAGGTCTCAGATAGTCTTCTCGATTCATCAACAAGTCTTGAAATATTTCCGCAAGTAATTTGGCCGCTTGTTCGGGTAATGTTTGAAACATCACACCCAACATTGGCATATTATTCGGATTTCGTGCATTCGATAATTCATTATAAATTGTATGCTTCAAGATAGTGGATAAGTTCTCTGGGTGTAAACCAATTAATTCTTTTACACCGTTTAGATATAAATTAATTACAGCTTTGGTCTTTAATCTCATTTTCACTAATTGACTAATAACTTCAACGTCCCTCTGAGTATGAGAAGTACAATTATAACAAATATAACTCAATAATTCTTGAGCTGGTCTCATCAATTTCGGATTATGTAACCACATTTCTAATCTTGGAACAGCAATATTTCTGATTTCTACGAAACCACAAGCTGAAGAAAGTAACTTTAAAAAATTCTTAGTAATTGACTCTGGTTGCCGCCTGTTCAACTGCTCTTTCACAGCTTCAAGAACAATTAATTCTATGTTCTCTATACAATGACCATATCTGGGAGTTACAGGAAATTCTATTTTCTCTTTCTCTCCAGAAAATTGTACAGATGATGATCCAGTGTCTTCGTCGTCAATCGTCGATGGACTATGACAGTCGCGTGGTGTTAAGACAGATAGTTCTGGTTGTAAGATGCTTTTTGGCGGATGCCGTGTGTTAAAACCTGTTAAAATATTATCCACAAAACCTTTGCATTCTTCATGATCAACCCATACCCTTTCACCTAAAGCATCCTCAATGTACAGCTATAAAAACAGAAAGAAAAAATACAAGTTAATTTTAAAGTAAAGGAATAAATATAAATAATTAAATATACGTATATATGAACAACCTTTACAAAAATATCTGGCCAATTTTTTTTATCACAAAATCCTTTCATTAACAGATTAGCTGCAAGTACAGGGACCAATGGGTTTCCTTTAGCTTTGTAATTATGTGCTTGATCCCTCTTTAGTAGTGATGATAGTGCATGTAGTATACAATCATTTGAAAAAATAGAAGGACGAATTTTTGCTAAATATAATAGTCCCATGTAAACCAATGTATCAGGTTTCCACTTTTGATTTTTAAGCGTTTTAATGGCACCACAGATAATTCCAATCACTTTATCACCTTCATCATTATCATTAGCTTCCAGAACCATTGGAACAAAGTCTGCTGGATCGCTATCTATGGCTACTAATTCCCAAGCTTCTGCACTTGAAAATGGTGGTCGTTGATGGGAAACATGTGTTGCAAGTTTAGGCTTCTTTTGTGGAATATACTGAAAACTCTGAAGTGATCCCGATGGTGCTTCCTTTTTTCTATCATTTCCTATATAATTTTTCATACAAATAAATCATAAAAAGTAACTTTGATAGAGTCTATTTAGTTTTCTCCAAATTTTCATTTAATTATGTATTAAAATAAGAATAATTTATTTACCAGAAGTTGAAGAACTACCGCTTGGTTTAGAATGAATAACTCCTGGCCTTTTAACATCTGAGCTCTCACTACGTGAACTTTTGGATCCAAGTGCAAATAAATCAGGAGGATGCTGAGCAATTTTACTTTTTGCACCCCTACCAATTCCTGCCTTGCTGCGATCCATTATACTTGTGCTTCCTAAATGTACAAGTAATGAACAAATTTATTAACCACAGTATTTTTAATTTTTTATACAATATACAAGTATAGTAGATAACTTTAATAATAAGTTTATATTTTTTGTTCAGTATTTTAGAGTGTCATCAAATATTAAATTAGAATAGCGCTAACCTATTCAACATTTATAACACAAATTTTCAGAAAATGTTTGTCCGAAAAATGTTTCTAATATTATATACGATTAATAACATTAGATCGATAAATTAGTCAATTATAATTAAAAATGTACATATAACAATATTTCTCTGTCAACAAATTTATGCTTTATAAACAGAAAGTTATCATAGCAGACACCGCTATCGATTGCGCCTCTTGTAGATTCGATAGTATCGAAACGATCGAACAAAACGATTATTAATTTTAAATTATATACTTCAGTGACCACACTGCATATTTCAAAGGCTAAGACAGAAATGAATATCAATGTTATAAATAACTTTATTCCTTTCGTTTTCATTTCATTAATTAAAATTATACTTGTATACTTGTAAAATGTTATGTATTTTAAAGATTTTTATTAACTTTCCTAAATGTAAAATTGCCGCTATGAATAATTAAAACGCACGTTGACTAATGAAATAAATATGCATCCAATTTTGGAATACATAATCTTTGAGTATTCTTTTAACATAAACACCACCCAGTATTTTCAGTCTCAACACGTTCTTGCTTATTGCAACACATGTACATATGTATAAATAAACCAATCGCACTGCAAAGAATTTGAATTTAAATACAAGCTAAAGCAGTCGTCATTTCAAATGACAGTTGCAAGCCGTGGAAGTGGCGTGTAATGAGACTGGAAAGACGCAGAAATTAATATCAGGACAAAGCTACCTCGTTCTAAATTCTTATGCTGCTTCGTGATAAATATTTCCGAAAGAAAAATGTCGAACGGTATTAAAGTGGGGATTAAACTGAAACCTTTAACTAAACAGGAAAGAGATAAAAATTTATCAATAAAATGGATCGTACAGGAAAACTCTATTATTTCCCTGGATCCAGAAATAAAAAAACAGAGGAATAATGGATTTCAGTTTGGTACGTGTGAATAATTCATTTAAGGGAAAGTATTTTTATTTAAAATATAACCCTACTTATGGTTTTTATCACATGACATATTTTGTTACTATTTCCTAGTTTTCTTTTAAATTATAATTGGAGCATGCTCTTTGAAAGGAAAACAAACATAAACAACTCACATAAAATCAACTTATTAACTAACATTAGATGTTGTTAATTTTTAATATTATACTTACAGATTATATTTTTGATATGAATGCAAACAATTCCAGTGTGTTCAATAGTATTGTAAAACCTATTGTTGATGGTGCTATAGATGGTTTTGATGGAATAATATTTTTTTATGGTCAAAGTAATTCAGGTAAAACATATACCATGTTGGGTACTTCAGAAGAATCAGGAGTAATACCACATGTTATTGATTACATATTTCATGCTATTTCAAATATAAATGGACGTGAATTTTTGTTAAGGTTTGTATTATTAATACAAACAGAAATTATTGATCATTGATTTTATGAAAAAATATTCTTACCTTTCAGAACATCCTATTTAGAAATTTATGATGAAAAAATAAATGATCTTTTAAATGAAACAGAAACTGATTTAAAATTAGACAAAAATGACAGTGGGCAAATAGTCATTAATTGTAAAGAAGAAATTACAAACTCTCCAAATGATATGTTATCCATAATGGAAAAAGGAATAAACAATAAAAAGACAAAGACAACTAATAGGAATAAATATAATAGTAGTCATAACGTATTTCGAATTGTAAGATCGCATGAAATGTTTTATATTTTAAATATTCTATACCCTTGTACAATAAACCAACATCATTTTTAGACAATTGAAAGTCAAGAAATTGGAGGAGATTCAAAAGATCTTGTACAAGTATCACAATTAAACTTGGTAGACCTTACTGGTTTTGTTAAAATTCATCATAAAGATCTTACCGAGGAATGTCAGATTGATATATCATTTAATACTTTAAAATCACTAATTGTGCAGTTAACTGAAACACAAATTGCTCAGAAAAATACTGATTGTGATAACACCAGATTAACAGAATTGTTACAGCCATCATTAGATGGTAATGCTTTAATAGCATTAATATGTACTGTGACACCTGTTGCTTTAGATGAGACATACTATACTCTACTGTTAGTATACTAGTACTATGTTATTAATGTGTTTATTATTTTGTTTCTAACATTTTCTTCTTAATTATTAGACTTGCATCTCAAGCTAAGAACATTAAAAATGAGCCACAAAGAAACAAAGTTATATCTGCTACATCACTTCTAAGACATCATTCAAAACAATTAGCTGAACTTCAAATAGAGCTAAAAGTATGTATTATTAACTGTACTCTTATTTGAAGAATTACAATAATTTCTTGTATTAATTATATATTTTTTTGTTCAAATCTTGTTATTAGAAAATGAGGAATGGAAACTCTATAGAATTTGAAGAAGTAGAATCTAGTAATTTGCAAGAGAAAGATCACATTAATTACTTGTTTGAACAAATAAAATTATTAAAGAGTCAAATTATTTCTGGAAGTATAAAAAATTGCGAGGAATCATCTAAATATAAATCTAGAAGAATATCCAAACAGTATATACCTATATTTCATACTAAGATTGGTTTACCAACAATAAAAGAAATGTCACCTGAGAAACAATGCAGAAAAAGCATTAGGGAATCAGGCGATTTTACAAACAAAAGTAAATACATGTGTATCTGTGCAGTTCTTTTGTTGAAATTGTTGTTTGTGGTTCAATAACTCATCATTACTTTACAGACTTTGAATTACTTAAGTGTAAACCAGATCATGAAACCAAAGAAAACGGAAATAGTACCGAAGAAAAGTGCGTTGAATGTACAGAAAATGACTTTAGTATCGCATCTTCAAATAATAGTCCCTATGTAACACCTGAAAAGCAAGATTCTTCGGTACAGACCTTAAGGTAGGCGTTTATTAATAAAGTATAATATCATTGATGTATAATTTGAATTATTAGTATATAATTCTGTATCAGTACACCAAAGAATGTTTTACGGAAATATATTTTCGATCTGACAAGAGATCTTACCGAACTTCGGGAATTTACAACCTTGGAGAAACAAGTGATACGCGAAGAAAATGATTGTTGCATACATGTAAGTGTAATTAATGTTTGTGCTTATGCATATTGGTATGTTCATTAATTCTATATAATGTTGTGTATTATTTAAGGGCCTGGAAGAACGTATAACTGAAGCTAATGGAATTACTGAGTTGTCTTCAAATTTGATTATGCAATTAGAAGAAGAGAAGGTTAAATTAACAGAAGATTTAGAATTAAAAATTCAGGAACTGGACGAAATAAAAAATGATATTCAGAGTCTGAGATTAGATATAGAGAAATTACAAAAAACTATTTATTTACTGACCAATGAAAATGTGGAATTGTCGACTAAATTAACAATTGAAAGAGAACGCTTTCAAAAAGTAATCGATGAACTTCATACACGTATTTCAAACATTATGGCTGAGAAAATGAATTTAGAAAATGGTTTAATGGTTTTGAACGAACAGTTACAACATGCTCATTCAAGAGCATCAGAAATATCTAATGATGAACAGCTAATTATTAAATATCAAACCCAAATAGATACGTTAAAAGCAGAAAACATTGAATTATCAACTATCATTGCAGAGAAAAGTAGAGAGCTCGAAACCGTTAAAGAAAGTAAATCGCTTTTATATGATCACGACTGTGTATACAAGGACAAATTTGCAATTCTTACAGAAGAGAACAGTAGTTTGGTTGCAGACAATAACAAATTTTCTACGGACTTAATGGATAAGATTGAAGAAAATGACATGTTGAAAGAACAGTGTAATATTTTAAGAAACAAATTATCTGTAGCAAACAATATGAATTCTGATGAAGACGACGTAGACCAACTAAGATCAGAGAATAAACATTTGAAAGCCGAAATTGTAGAATTGAAAATGAGAATAACAATGTTAACGGATGAAAATACAAAGTTTTCAAATAATTTATTGGAGACTATGGAAGATCTTGAAAATTCACGACATGAAAAACAAAGTAATAACACATTACGTTTGTCCACTAAAAATAGTGTCACAAAAATAGACGACTCTACAATAGAAGTATTACAAGAGGAAAATGATGAAATATTGGCAAATAAAGTTGTAATATTGCAAGAGGAGATTAAACATCTAACTCGTTTGAATAAAAAGTTAAGTGATTTAAAGTTATCATCGTGCAGTCAGTGTGCGCATTTGAAAAATTTAAACGAGAATCGTAGAGCTTTAAAACTTGAAGCGACACTTTTAAATCACAAATTGGAAGACTTACAAAGAAAATTTAATCGCAAATGTGCCGATACCGAAGCATTAAAAGTTAAAGTTAATCAAGATCTGAATTTAAGTTTCGCCGATTCATCTTTCAATACTAGTTTTCCAGATGGAATGAATGTAAGTTTCGTAGAAGAAAAAGTTCAGCATTTAAATAACGAACTACAAGCATTAAAAGATGACCGAGACAAACTATCAATTTTATACAAAGAGAAATGTGACGAACTTGAAAAGCTCCACGATGAAGTAGTTGATATAAAGAATACAGACGACGGTTCTACACCAAAGAAGTCTGGGCTTAAAACTGAAAGTAGAATCGAAAAGATCCAAAAAAGTATCGACCAAGTCAAAGATGACATAGATGAATTAAAACAGAATAGTACGAACTTCAGTTCCGTACTGAATAAATTTAGGTCAGAAAAGGCAAAATTGTTGGACGAAATTAATACACTGAGGAATATTAACGAGGAATTACAGCAGAAGGTGTCTAATAATGAAATATCAGCAGTTACAGCTACAGAGAAGGCAGAGATTCTTGAAAATGAAGTGTTGAATATGAGTAAAGAAATTGAGCAGTTCTCTGTACAAGAGAAAACTATAAGAAGCGAAAAACTGATGCTAGAGGTAGAATTAGAAGATTTGAAAGCTGAAAGAGAAAGCAAAGATATTCTCATCACAGGATTGCATCGAACAATCGATGATTTGAATGAATCTATTTCATCATTGAAACAGGAGTTAGACTTGATGACTAATCAAAAGAACGAATTAAGCATTTCCACAGAAATGATTAAACGTAAATATGAAGATGAATTAGAGTCATTTAAAAAACAATATGAAGAATTGGAAAAAGAAAAGTCAGAAAGTACAGAAGCAGAGAAACGTGCGATATTGCGGGCAAAAGAATTAGAATCAGATGTAGAAAAGCTTCAAGCGGATTTGATAAAACAAGAAAGTCTGTGTAAAGAATTGCAAAGGAACATTTGTCAGCTAGAAAATCTTTTGAAAGAAAGTGAAAATGAAAAAGAAACCCTCAAGGAAAAGTTACAGATACTTGAAGTTCAATTAGTTGATTCTGAAAATAATTTAGTGGCAAAGTATAAAAATGAATTTGAAAGTATAACAGCAAAGTTTGAGGAATATACCAAAGAATCTGAAATTAAGTTAAACAAAATTAATGAAACGTTACACGAATATGCCTCAGAAAATGATAATTTAAAACAGAAACTTACAAAACTTGAGGATATTGAGTTACAGTTCAATGAAATAAACGATAAAGGAAAGAATATATTAAATAAAGAGAAAGTTTTGATTAACGATAATAAAAAATTGAAAGAAGAGTTGGATACCATTAGAGAATGTATGATCAAAGAATTGAAATCACTGAAACATAAAATAAATTCCACAGATATTTTAAACAAAACCGCGAACGAAATTTTCATAATGTTCCTTCAAGCAATTATGACAAAAGAGGAAGAGATAATTAAAACAATGAGAGAATCATTCGAAAAGGATAAACAACAGTTAGAAGATGAAAAACGACAAAGCGCGGATGCAGAGAAACGTATGATATTGTGGGTTAAAGAACTTGAAACAGAAACTGAAAAGTTACAAATGGATTTAACAAAACACGAAGCTTTATGCGCAGAACAACAAAGTAAAATTAATCATTTGGAACATCTTTTGGATGAAAATACCTACGAAAAAGACATACTTAAAGAAAAGATAGAAGCACTTGAAAATGATTTAGGCAATTTACAGACGGAACTAGATAAACAATCCAACGTTGATATTCAGCAAAAAGAAGAAGAAATTATCGTTGCCCAAAGAAGAGAAAGAAAGGTACAAGAAAGTTATAAGAAGAAAGAGATTGAACTTCTCTCTAAAATGAAATTTGAAAAAGAAATGTATGAGAAAAGAATAGAAGATCTTCTTTGCACCATAGAAAGCTATAAAACTAAAAGCATGGAATTAAAAAGTAATATTGAAGGTCTTGAGGCCAATGAAAAACAACTGAAGAATATCATAGATGCAAATTCTTCAGAATTAAAGTTGAACCATCAGAAAATAGATAAATTGAATCTTGATTTTGAACAACTTACAGAAGCCTACAATGAAGTGAATCGTGAAGTAGAACAAAAGACATCACAAATTGAAAACATTACAACTCTTTTGAAACATAAATGTGATATGTTATCCGAATATAAGAATAAGCTTGAAATTTTTATGCCAGATTATGAATTGTTGCAAAGTCAAGTTAAAGAGAGAAAGGAAAGTATAGAGCGATATAAAGAAGAGATAGAAAATCTGAAAATGGAAAAGGAGAAGCAAATTACAATAATTAAAGATAAATTAAATTCTGAGGAAATAAAGAATATTGGTTTGAATAAGCAATTAAACGAATTAAATAACAGAAACATAGCTTTGGTTGAGGAATTGGATAATCTGAAAGATAAATATGAAGAATTGCAACAGGCAAATACAAAATTAGAAAGAAAGATAAGGAACAGTACAAGTAAGTTGAAAGCTGAAGCAGAAATGGAGGAATTAAAAGACCTAAACAAAAGATTGCAGAATAATTTAGAAGGAGCAAGTAATCGTATAAATGAGATGCAGGATAGTAAAAATAAAATTTTGAAAGAATTAGTCAATTTGAAAGGACAATATGAATTACTGTCACGAGAAAATATTGAAATGAAGAAAACTCTATCATCGTACAAACAAAACATTCCGTATTTATCTGTAGAAGAATATGATGCTCTCCTTCAAGAGAAGAATAAAATTGCATTAGAATTAGAAGGTAAAAAATTGTTGCTAAACCAAAGAGACAGGGAGAACAAAGCATATGTAAGTCAGATAAAAGAGTTGACTGCTAAAAATAAAGATTTTAATAATCAGTTAGAAAAATATATTGCTATCATAAGTGAACGCGATACAGAAATTTCTAATTTAAAGGATAAACTGAATGTTAACCAAACAGAAAATAAATTGGCAAATGAATTAGAAGAAAAATTGAAACTTTTAGATGAAAGAAACAAGAAACTTGAGGATCAATTGCAATTGCATAATGAAAAAGTTTTACATGTATTGAGGAAAGAAAATTCCGAATTATACATTAAACTTAAGGAATACAAGAATAAACTAGATTTGAAAAGCAGTACCGGTAGTTCAAGATCAGTTAGTCCAGCCTTTGAGAATACTAGACGGAGACATAGCAGAAATGAGATGTTTAATCAAAGAAGACAATTAGAAATTGTTGACATAGATGTTAATGAAAATGAAGATACCTGTCAAATATTGAGGAAAAAAATTCAAGAATTGGAATTACAATTAGTATCAAAAGATGGTCAAATTGCAGCATTAGAAATTCAAATCCAAAGTGAATATTTCCCTTATCAGCAGAAATGTAAAGAACTTGAAGAAAATTTGTACACATATCGTAAACGAGTACGTATAAAAAACATATTTTTTATTTATATTCATTAAAATTAATTGCTAATTCTATTGTTTTTCATAGACAAGTGAACTTAATTCTGAATTAAGAAAACTTCGAAAGACCATAAATGATATTGATGTATGGGAATGCGACAGGTGTAGACGATGGCAAATTAATAAAAGAGAAAAGGCTTGTCAAACAACCTGTAACAATACATCACGATCTCTTAATAATGGAATAATAGATGTATGTAACAATGAAAGATACTGTAACAATTTAACTTAATATTAATTGTAATATTTGTTTTATAGGATCATGTTAAAATAACGAAACTGGAAAAGGAAAAGGCATTAATAAAAGATTTATGCCATTCACGATGTCGACGAATAAAAGAATTAGAAGATAAAGTAAGAGAATTAGAGGAACTTCAAGGTACATCAGCCTTAAAGCCTGTTGAATCTTTGCAAGAGAAACAGCATACTTCTTCGATGTACTTCAATAAATATTTTGACTTGGAGAAGAATGTGAAACCGTGAGAAACACATTTCTTGAAACATATTTGGCTTAAAACTGTGCTATCAAGATTAAGTTTCTTTGCAATGGCCTTTAACTGCTGGAATGCAATTAACTATTAGCATGAAAGCTTTTCTAAAGTATATCTTCATTAATGTGTGCAATGCATGGCACTGGTATTTAATGCTATTAGGTTTAGTTGTAAATTTACATTTATTTATTTTTTACAGACAATATTCAAATGACATAATCTACATTTTATTTGTAGAAATATCTTTATATTAATTGTTTACATATTTTGCACCAATTTCACTTTATTTTCATATGCACGTTATACATATAGTATAAGGTTTGCATGTTCAGTCTATTATCACATTTTTGTTCTTACTTTATTTTCTGCTTTATTTTCTGAAGGTCGAATTTCTGACTTTACATATTGTGATTTATTGTTTTCTGCAGAGAGATGAAAGAAAACATTCCAACGACGTTAATAGAACTTACAAATCTTTCAAATTATAGACGAAGCATATGGAATAAATATTGAAGATGTCTTCCAGATTCTTAAAACGAAAAGTATTATTAAATGCAAAAGAACTACTGTTCAAGTATTACATTCATTCCTTCTGTTCTTGAAATAATGTAAATAGTTATAGAATTAAGGTATTTATATTGAAGGCATTATATTTTTGTATTTTCTTAAAAATAGTGTAAATAACAATGAAACCGATTTTTATATACATATTACGACGTTAAAGGTGGCTAAATAGGTGTTGTATTTTCATGCCATCTTTATATATAATCTGTGATTCAGAAAAATATTCATAATATAATTGTATAAATAGTAATACATATAAAATGTGCCATACATTCATTCCTCTTTTCAGATCTTGATTAAAAAGCAACAGTAAAAGAAAAGATGAATTTATTTGTTATAATATAAATGAAAATTTGTTTAAAAATAAAAATTGTGTACTTAGAATTAATTGTTAGTACCTTCGACACGCGTATTCTGTGAATTAAATTTGTAAAAATGTCTTCATATGGATAATAAAATATTTCAATTTTATGTTCGAAATATTGAAAAAATGTATGTTTGTAACACCTGCCTAAACTAGTTATATTTTCTTACTTCCTACACTGATGATATCGAAATGTTTCGATATATCGTATTTAGTTACATTCCCTAGTGCTTTCGATAAACATGTATACATATACTTGATGTCATGAGAGTCCATAACTAAGCGCGCAGGTTGGAAGATGGTGGGGGAACGCAGTGATGGTGGGGGAAAGCGATCCGCCAATCACTTTCCACTTCCGCTGGAAGTATCGCCAATCGCTTTCCACTTCCGCTGGAAGTATCGCCAATCAGAGCGACAATGTGCAGAAAAGAACGAAAACTGGTCTTTTCGCAGTTATGGACTTTCGTGACATCAAGTATATATATATATACAACTTTTAAACTGTTTTGAACTGTCAACCGGTGTAGAGAAGCAAAAATATTAAATGTGTTGATTCGAAAACAATTAGTTTAACAAATTTAATTTTTGATATATTTTGCATAGTTTATAATACATTTTTATAATTTCATCTTTTAATTTGCTCCGACTTAAAGGTATATGCGTATTCGCATTCAAAATATGTAAACATTTTACTTCCAAATGCTGAATAAAAAATTAATTCTTTTATATATATGTATATGTTTTTACACTTCTCTGTTTTATAAATTTGAGTAGTTTTAGTTATTTTGTAGTCACATAATGTTTCTATAATGCATAAAGGAAAACCTTTTATTATAATATGATTTTAAAAATGTTGAAAAAAATAGTTTTGTATATGTGTGTGTGCATGCAGACATACACATATATGCAGATAGATTAAAGAAACGTTTATAATTTGAAAAACATATAGTTGGTACATATACATGTTTCAACAAATTGAATGTTTCATATGTATTAAAATTACTTTATATTACATACTATTCAAAAATGGACTTAGAAGCAACAATAGTTGAACGTTTACAAAAGTTGAGACAATGGCAATCAGAACAACAAAAACAATTATTGAAACAGCAACAGATACAAAGAGAGATGTTAACTCAAAAACAGGACAGTATATATAAAGCACTTGAGTTATCAATACAGGAACTTGATCTTAATGAAGATGTATTAAGTACAAATAATTCAAATATTGATACTGATAATAAAAATATTGAAAATCAAATTTTACAACAAGAATCTCCTATAGAAGAATTAACTGAAAATTTAGTTATTACTGATAGTCATTTGAAAGAACATTTAAAAGATAAAATAATGTCTAACACAAAGAATGATATAAAGCTAATAATAACTTCTCCAGAACAAGAAATACAAAGTGGGCAAGTTATTATAGATGGAATAGCACCACTACCATCCGATAAATCAGTAATTACTCATGTTTGTATTGATGATTTACCAATTCCTTCTCCAAAAAAAGATTTTCATACACTACTTGAAGAAAAATTGAAAGATTGTGATAATGTACCTTGTGAAAAAGTTAATACTAATCCAGGAAAAAAGGTGAAAAAACCATTTCTCAAGAAAGGAGAAGGTTTATCCAGATTTAGATTAAATCTTCCTACTATGAAACCAAGATCACGCAGTGTTTCTGTATCTAATAGTATGCAGTCTAATTCTAAGCCTTCTAAGAATGAAAGCAAAAGTAATAATATTGCTCAATCTTCAAGAACAACATTGTCAAAAAATACACATTGTACAAATTCAGCTCGGAAGCATTTATCTCTAAAAAACATTCCATTGCCAAAACAGAAACTTCGTTGCAAATCAGAATCCAATACTTCAGATATACCATTAGAGAAATATATAAATGAAGTTAAGAATAAAATTGAATTAAATACTTCAGATTTTCAGTGTGGTGCACAGGAGGAATCAGAAGAAGTAAGAATATTTGAATTATTAGAAGAGAAAGCAGAAAATTCTAGTTTCTGTTCTACATCCAGTGCAGTCATTGCATTTCTGCAACAGTCAACGCCATTTAAAATAAAAAAAGGTAAATACAAAATGGATAATGACACAGTTAATGGAGGACAAGAAATTAGTCCCTTAATTAAAAATTGTATTGAGCAATCAGTCTTAAAATCCAACCAAGCTTACAAATATAGAATGTTTAATAAAAATACTGATTCTTATTGTGATTTGATTCCTTTTATAAATAAAAAAATAATACAAAATAATATGCAAAATACTAGTGAAAATAATAAGACAGGAACAGTTCATGATACTGAAAATAATAATGACTCAGATGTTAGTCTTCATGTCAGATTTTCTGAATACAATGAATATAAGACTATTGAATTAACAGATACATCTAGTATATCAACTGAGTCATTAGTAACAGGAGACTTCTCAGATGACAAAGTTTGGAGTGATTCTTCAACTCTAGAAACATCTAATATAGAAAACTTATCAGAGATTTTAGAAGCTCCTATAATTACAAAAAGTACAATACAAGATAATAATTATAAATCTAAATCAGAACACTATAATATTCAGGAAAAAGTAAATTGTGAAACAAATTTCCATCAGAGTATTTTTCATAAAGATGAGTCAGAATTTTCCAATCAATCTTCTGATGATGAACAAAGTACCCTACATAATTGTAGCCAAAATAATTCAGTATTAGAGGAAATTGATACATCTAATGACACTGAACAATCAAAAAGATGTATGGACCAACGTGATAATAGAAAGAAAATAGACAAATATGTAGACAATTACAATGGTAAAGAAGTAATTGAAGTTAAAGGAACTAAGGAAAATTTACAAGAAACAAATGAAACTATTTTTTCATCAGAACTTCTAAGAAGTCGTTTGTTGGAATTAGAGCAAGAAATCAATATATTTCGTAAGGAAAATGCAGCTCTATCTTTACAACGGAAAAAGTTACAAGAAGATCATAGAAACATACACAAAGAATATACGGAAAAAGAAAAAAATTTCGAGGAAAATAGAATACAAATTGAAAATCGTTTACAAGATGAGAGAAAAAAGCTAGCGCGTGAAAAAGCCGCACTAGAAAGTAGACTTAGGGATTCACAAGAAAAAGCTCAACAAAGTAAATTAGAAAGACAGGAAATACAATATTTAAAAGAAGAAATAGAAAAATTAAGAGAAGAAATACACGTAAAAGAAAGTAGATGGAATGCAGCACAATCTAGACAAAAATGTCAAATGAGAATATTAAAAATGGAAAATTCAAAACTAAAGCAGGAAGTTGAGAGATTACAAAATTTGAAGAAAGGTAACAATAAAAATAAAGGGAGACCTGGAACCTTTTCTAATACTAGGGCAATTCATCAAATTAACAAACAACTTAATATGCAGCTCCAGGAGTCTAAAAAAATTAGTGACACTTCATCAGATAATAGCGCTGGAAAATCAGTAGAATCAATAAATAAGACAGAAAATATGATAGGTGCTAAAAATATAGAAGATAATGAATATAATTCCAATAACAGCAAAGATGTTATGAATAAAAAACTACAAAAAGATCAGACCACTATGATAAATATTGCAAAGAAACGTAGTTTATATGAGAATTTAATTAAAGAAGCAACATCGGACATGACCGACTTTCATGAACAATCTAGTACTTCTGAAAACTTGAGTCAACTTAAATCGGATTTAAACATTAAGTTTAAAAAATTAGATACCATAACAAATGATGAAGAAAACAACTATGAACAATTTTATAAAGAATCTAATTCAGCTTTTAATCATAGTAACTCTAATGATAAGATACAATCACAAATACAAAATGATTATATACATATTATATCTCCTACAAAAGCTTGCACAGAAAATTACAATGAAGAACCAAAGTCAGGATCATCGAACGAATCATTTAATAATGCACATGCGGAAAATACAATGTTATGTAGCCAAGATAATGCTAATAAGCAACATATAAAACAAATTGAACGCGCAGATGGTTCAATAGAATATCAGTTTCCAAATGGAAATGTTAAAAAGGTTTTTCCTGATCAAGGTTTGACTAGATTGATATATTATAATGGAGACATTCGTGAAACTAATAAAGACGGAAAGATAAAATATTTTTATGCATCCACTCGAACGTGGCACACAACAATGCCAGATGGTTTAGAAATTTTAGAATTTTCTGAGTAAGTCAATACTTGATTATCAGTTTTATAAATGATTATCCATTATATATCAAATGCAATTTTTCCTGTTCTATAGCGGTCAAGTAGAAAGACGATCACACAGTGGAGCAGTAGAAGTTTTATTTCCAGATGGTTCAGTAAGAATGTTAGAAGTAGATGGTACTGAAAGATGGACATTACCAGATGGAACATTAATTCGAATTCTTACTAATGGGGAAAAGGTTCTTACTTTACCAAATGGACAGCAAGAAATACATACTAAAACTCATAAGGTAAATAAAAATCATCATGAACATACAATGCAATAAGTAAATTAAGAAAAACATACATCGACATAATTCATACGATTTTTTAGAGACGAGAATATCCTGATGGTACTACTAAATTTATTTACCCTGATGGTACCCAGGAAACAAGATATTCAAATGGTAGAATACGTCTTAAAGATAAGGATGGTAATCTTTTAATGGATTCATATCAGTAAAGGCTGTAAATAATCGTGTAATTGAAGTTAATATTTAATAAGATAATGAAACTTGATTCAAAATCATATATTTTTTTATGAATTTTAACATAAGGGTTAAAAATGATCGGATGTAAGTAACATTTAAGTTTGAAATAAATTAAAATAAACGAAAATTGGATTGTATGACGGTATAATATTATTAAGGTGATGCGAGCGTCGAGGCTGAACTTCGAATAAATCTTTTTATAGTAGCTCTTAGCTTGATATCGCTTTCTAAAAGTTATCTTTAGAAAACGATATCAATTACCAGGTCACACCACGTGGAGGTGGCTACGTTAGTGACCCACCCTAAAATCATAAGAACGTGAAACCATTCAAAACAGACAACAAAATAAAAATTTAAGCAATACAATCTTGAAATAGAAAATAAAATTAACATCCTAATATCAGAAACAATTGAGAAAATAATAATAATTTAACAATAAAATGCTGTAACGGAAAACATAATTATTAGGATTAGATATACAATAACGTGAAACCATTCAAAATAGACAAAATAAAATAAAAATTTAAACAATACAATCTTGAAATAGAAAATAAAATTAACATCCTAATATCAGAAACAATTGAGAAAATAACAATTCAACAATAAAATGCTGAAATAGAAAATAAAATTAACATCCTAATATCAGAAACAATTGAGAAAATAATAATTTAACAATAAAATGCTGAAATAGAAAATATAATTAACATCATAATTTCTGTAACAATTAACAAAATAACAATTCAACAATAAAATGCTGAAATAGAAAATAAAATTAACATCATAATATCAGAAACAATTGAGAAAATAACAATTCAACAATAAAATGCTGAAATAGAAAATATAATTAACATCATAATTTCAGTAACAATTAAAAACTAATTCAACAATAAAATGCTGAAATAGAAAATATAATTAACATCATAATTTCGATTACAATTGAAATGAAAAATGCCGACAACAGAAAATATAATTACCATTACAATTTCAGAGTATGTTTTAAATAAATAGAACATAATTAAAATAAAAACATGAAATATAATTGATGTGCAAATCAATAAGAAAAGAATAGTTTATTTCAATAAAGCAATAAACGAAAAAGAAATAGGGGGAATAAAATCGCGAGTTGACCATTCAACGAGCTGGGTATTGAACTCGTAAAATGTCGAGTTCAATACGTCCTGGACGGTATTATTCATACCGTTCAAGGAAAAACACAAAAAATGAAAAAACAAATTAGCGAGCATAGTGACAGAATGACTGTCCATCCGAAGATGGAGAGCCATTAGTAGTTCCCCTCTTCTGGGCAAATTTTGCCGGGGCTCTTCAGCATATAGCCTCTTCTTTCTTCGGCAATAGCCTCACAAAAATCACTCGCGAAAATTTTACGTTTGCTCAAACATTTGTAAAAACGTAACACGTAAACGAGCAACGATCCTTTGAATCGCTACTCGCATACCTGCACAATTTTTGCAAATGTCCAAGCACAAAACACTTTTTAATTTCACTTCACTTCACTTCACTGCACTTTCACTTTAATACTTCATTTTTGTAATCGGGTCTAGTACCACGACTACGACTTACAAACTAATAAGGCTTGGCCTTGAAAAAATCAAGAGAGAATGCTAAATTAATTAATTGATAAATTAATTAAATTGCATTTTCATCTTTTCTCTTGATTTTTGGTTTCCCAACCCCAGATACAAGCTTCTCACGTATTAGAGGAGAATACGAAGAGAAACATGAAAGCTTGCTCTGGCCCTGCCTACTTATAAACTAAACTCAATCACACCAGAAGTAAACTACCTGCCTGCCTATCGCTATATTTAAAAAAGGGCAAAAATCATTCTCACAAAAATTCACTCCACGGTTCTCATACAACCACCCGGGTGCAAAAATGCCTACACCTAGAGAGAACGTCCCGGGACGCCTCCGACACCCGAGTTCAATTCAACTTTCACACTCTAATAAAATCATACCTGTTTGCTGAAATCGACTGACAAATAATAGTGAACATTATGCTACAATAATACATTTCATTTTCGTATTCTATTGAATTATCTAATGTAAAAATTTGTCAATTTATTCTTGATAAGTATTTTGTAATGTTATAGTAAGTTAAGATTATTAATAAACGATACAAATCCCACATCCTAACCACACACACACATGTGGAACTTCTATCGTGGTTCACTACTGGTTCACTACTTTTGTCAGTCGCCAAAATATATTACACTTAAAACTAAACCTTGTCCACCGCCCTCCACCCACGCGAGTACATCTAAGTACCCGAATGAGCTTTGGGCATAAAAATGAACAAGGCCAAAGGTATTTTCACCTACCAGTTTTCTTCATGTGTGCTGAAATGCCTAAGCTAAAACGTATGATTAGCAAAAACTAAAGATGATATTCTCACTTTATTAAAAGTAAGAATTTAGTTCCGATTTAGTATATGGGCTGGCCCCCCCAGGGGGTTTTATTTTTAATAAAAGTGACTCGACTTTGCAAATATAAAGCTTGAAGAGCAAATACAGAAAAGCAAAATTGAGCAACTATGACATAAAACATGGTGCACTGCTAATATCAGTTGGCAACGAAGGGTCTCACGCCCCCTAGACTTACGCCAGACGCTACATACCACCCACCCCGCCTGGACGTCGTAACGCCAGGACAGGATGCACCCCTTCGCTAAGAGCGCTACCCGCCCGTCCAACACGTTGCATCCAACGGTGTCAGATTGACGGACGCCCATAGTATAGACAAAAGGACTACAGTTTAGAATATGGTAACATATTTTCATATGTTCCGTATTCTAAAGCTGCGCCTGCAAAGGCCTAGTAATGCATGGGTTTATCTCCCATGAGATGGTGTTTCACGGTCTTATGCCGCGGAATCCTTGTAACTAATTTGATTAAATAAATAAAATATTGGATTGAGTTTAAAAACCAAAAGGATTCCCACCAAATACTAGTCAGTGCATTGTCATATTTACTCTCGCGTTGGAAATTTTTCGCAACACTAATTAAAATAGAAAATCCTGATCCAAAAACATGACTAGTACATAAACATCTAATGGGCTAATATTTCACTATACTGATGAATGATGAATGTGAATGATGAGTGTTTAGGGTCGAGAACCGTGAACGTGACAGAATGAATTTCAAGTACGAAAGGGGAACTTTATACAATGCTTGAAGAGCAAATACCAACCCCCCTGGGGGCCAGCCCATATACTAAACTGATGCCAATTTCACGAGTAAAATTGGAAAAACGTTTCAATTTCAAGAGCGATTTCGTGATCAAAGTAAGTAGTTATAATAATTAATAGTAATCATGCTTATTACTTTGATATTGAAATCCGCTCATCGCGAAATAAATTCTTGTACATATAAAAAAGAAAGTGTATTGTGAAGTCGGAGGGTCATCCGACTTCTCTACATTTTTAAACTCGAAATCTATATATGTAAATATGTACAAGAAAACCCTATCCTAAGCTAAGGCATAAAATACACAAAAAAGCAATTTGCACGATTATCATTGTATAAAATAATACAGTGATATTCGTGGGTCACTATGCTCGCTCAAAAAATAAAAATTACAACCAATTCCCGTGTCGCTACGGACCATTCGTCCTACGACATGATGGGAACCGGAGGAACTTTAAAGCATGCGACTCACCAATCGTTGACTTGCACCACTGCACTCGCCACGCATCTTAGATTGATTCATAGCTCGACTGTTGGCTCGTCAAAGAAACGGTATCCCCACTGGCCAAAGCACTCATCTGGAAGCATAAAAATCACGATTCTTGAACGATATATGTTTTCTCTCAATTTGTTGTAGTTAATAAGCTAATACATACTACAATTTAAAAATATGCATGCAAAACTATATAGGAATAACTACATCATAAAATACGGTAAAACACATGCAAATAAATACATCCCAAAACACATGAAGATCAAAACCATAGAACACCATAAAATATTTGCAAAATTGTAGCAAAACACATAGGGTACCACTCCATAAAGGCTACTAATAACTTCGTATAAATATACTAAAACACATAGGGTACTACTCCATAAAACCCACTAATGAATCCGTATAAATATGCCAAAACACATAGGGTACCACTCCATAAAACCCACTAATAAATCCGTAAAAATATACCAAAGCACATAGGGAACCACACCATAAAACACAATAAAGCACATGCAGGTACATGGGGTACCACACCATAAAACACAATAAAGCACATGCAGGTACATGGGGTTCCACACCATAAAACGAACTAATATATCCGTATAAATATTCCAAAACACATGGGAAACACTATAGGAAACACTATAGGCAAACACAGTAACACTTGTGGTAATACACTGATAAATCCATGCACGAATATCCATGGTATCAACCCGTACCGGTATATGTTTGACAGATCCATCCGTATCCTTTGGCGGTCGCGATAAGACTGATTGGATTTGACCTCTGTACGGGTCGCGCATGTACCGGCGCGCGGCGCGCGCAATCAAGCGTGACGTTCCGCTTCACCGGTTCCGCAGATTTAATTATTTCTATCTGATATTTGTTAATATTTGTTTAATTATTATTTTATATTTTACAATTGTTTATTAATCAAATTATTGTTATATCTATTTAAATTGTTTATTTCTTTACATTTCCGCGTGGGTATATTGCAAAATTTTGTTTAATTATTCTATTAAAAATTATTTAATTATTATTTTTAATTTTACAATTGTTTATTAATCAAACGAACGAACTGCGCCCTACAAAATGAACGAGAAACTAAATTTCTGGTCTGTTTTACCTTGTTGACGTCTTTCGCGAGTGAACAATCAACGAAATCGTAGTTTTCAAATTACTTCTATCTGGAGACTTGTACATCATCCCTTGGGTACTCGTTTTATTCTATCCGACCCAAAGAATATCAGTGGACATACGATTCACAGAAATGTTTATATTACGAATAAATCAATGCAGGTGAGTTCGATCTGCCATTTTCTTGACCGTTGACAGACAGTAAGGACCAGACAAATATTCTTTAGAACCTTCTGAACACGTCCCTCAAATTTTTTTACATTCTGTTTAGAAATGAGGACGTAATTTGAAAACTCGCGTCTAAGGATTTCTCTAGGGACGGTCGGTAAAGTTTTTGACGCTCGCAAGAAAATATTTATTTTCCTAGAACTATTTTTATCATTTACAGTATTTTTCTATACATATTGAAGATCTTTAGAGATAGATTAATCTTTTAATAATGGTTTATATAATAATTGTTTATGTATATATATTCACTTATGAACTTATTTATTTACTTATAGACATATTAGCTTTTGCCCTCGACTTCGCTCACTTGGATTTCGGTACATGACAAAGTTCGTTTTAGAGGGAGCTTGCTTATTACACCTCTATGATTAATCAAATGTTTTATAAAGAAAAAAAGTTTTCCTGAAATTTGATAAATAACGGTGAAAACTGCATCAAAATCTGTCCACCGGTTCACGAGTTGAAAGTGGATAAACATAGAGACAGATAGACGGATGTGGTATTTTATAAATATACAGATATACAAAATACAAATACATTTGAAAATGAAGAGATGTATTTTACGTATATGTGGATGAAATTTCATGCACATAATTTGCTGCTTCTTCTTCCCCGGTATCTCTTAACAATTTCTCCATATCTATTAAAGATAATGATGCCTGCACCTAAAAAATTTTTTAACAAATGCTTGGTTAAAATTTAAATTATAAAATTTGAATTAAGTTCGAATTAAGAAATATATTACTTACGTCAATATAATTTAATAAAAGTAAAGACGGACTTGAGGAACTCTGTTCAAAAGTTTTTAAAAAATATTCAAAATTTAAATGTTTTGCAAGTTTCCTCCAACCTTGCGTTTTGTCTAAAAGAGTAGATAACTTTTCTTTGTGTTCATTGTTTAACCAATTTGTAAGTAAATTCTTATCTTCTATTTCTAATTTTGTAGCAACTGAACACATTTGGTTCGCAGTGTCTTCGGTCTTCCCATTAAAAAGTTGCAAAATCTGTAAGAAAAGAATATCTTTTAGCATAAGAACTTACCACATATAATCAACTATGAAACTGATATTAATTTTTCTTTGATTGACTTTTTATTTGAACCTATTTGTATAACAAATAATGCGTGCATATACGTATGTACATAATAACGTAATTTACATCTGGTTTGTTCATGGCCAAATCAAACGATGATTGTCCAGTAGTTCCTTCTGTATTTTCATCTTCCGAATCGATTTCTTCTTTTATATTGATACTAGGCCCTTTTCTTTTGTCCACCTGTTAAATTGATAAAATGAATAAGCCCGACGTTTGGATTCAATTTATAAACTATGTGTGTATACTGCGAAGAAATACATTACATTATCTGTTTCCCGATTATGATTTTGAATATGTGGATCAGCGCCATATCGTATCAGTAATGCACACAATTCTTTTGCTCTTGCTCCGGAATGTACAACTGCAGTATGTAAAGCAGTATTTCCACTGAAGTTTCTTTTATTTACAGATATATTTGTCTGTAATAAAGGAAATGTTTTGAACAAAAACATATATCATTAATAACCATTGATTGGATAAATAGGTTAAAATAAAAATTAATGTACCTTTTTAAGCAAATATTCAACAATATTTTTATGTCCACCTTCTACAGCTATGTGCAATGCTGTCCTACCATAAGACATCTCGGTATCGTTTACATTTGCTCCTGCTTGAACAAGGAAACATACTGCATCGTACGATCCTGCTTCTGCAGCAAGATGTAATGCTCTCCATCCAGCATCATTGGGTAATTCAATGTTAACTGTTTTCTCTGACAATAAAGCATCAACACAGGCGCCACCTTCTGGAACTAAAATATCCATGTAAGAATACAGATAATTAAATTTTTATTTTATTTTTCAACTATTTAACTTACTTCTCACTGCAGCGTGCAGTGGAGAAAATCCATGCTCATCAATTCGATTTGGATCAGCTCCAAGCATGAGTAACGCTTTTGTAACTTCTGGTAAGTTTTGTAAGACAGCATAATGTAATGGCGTCTAAATCAAATGTTTTGTATTAAAATAATTATACTATAGTGTTATATATTAACGTAATTTACATATTTACCTTTCCCGAACTATTCTGTCCATTTACAAGCGACTTACAATCTTTGTCAGCACTTATTAACATTAGAAGGTATTTAACAATATCATGTTGACCGTACCGAAGAGCTGCGTGTAATGGGGAATCCCCATAGGTAGAACGATCTTTAAGCAGCTTTGGAATATATTCCTTCATATTTTCTGAATTCATTTTCATACATTTTATCACTTCAGTAAGTATATTTTTGGGGAACATTGTATCATCTTGATGCTAGTAAAGAATTTATGTTGTTTAATGATTTACAAATATATTAAACTAAATTCTACTAAATTAAATTAAAACAGAAAGGTATATATACCTGTCTAATTAGCGGACCATCGGAAGTCAACATATTCTCATCACCGTTTTCAATAAATGGTAAATATTCTACAGAAATATATAAATAAAATTATTTAACAATAAATTTTGAATCTTTGGAAAACAGCACATTTCATACTTACGTTCATAGTCTATACATTCAAAGAGATTTTTATGCAGTGGCGAAGAACAACCTTCAGAAAGTAATTTTTTTAATTCTCTAGAAACATCCCGACTATCGCCACTTAAGATTTCTGATATATTATCTACAACGGGACTGTTATAAGTTGGAACTATGTGTGACAATTCTGAACTTCCGGAGTAAGACATTCGTTGGCGCTTCTTGCCTAAAAATAATTTTACATAAATTATATATAACTTCAAACTACTTTATAGTCGCTTATCATTTACCTATAATTCTGTCACTTGGTTTATAAGTAAATTTTATTGGTTCAGAACATTCTGCATCAGATGGTCGTTCTAATTGAATAAAAACTTCTTTTGGTGAAGTAATATTAAGATCTTTATATGCCGGCGTTCTGTAAAAAAAATCATATACAAATTCGTGGATAATAAGATCATTCAGAATTCATTTATTCAATGAACTTAAGTTATAACGTACCGAAATACAATAGCATACTGATGATGAACATCCAATTCCGTAAAGCGTCCGTATGCGCACCAAACTTCACAATCATTTTCGTTTAGTTCAAAAAATTTTATTTTAATATTTTCTGCAATAAAAAGAAGGTATTAAGTTAAAATATTATAATTATTTTACATTACTGATTTCCACAATCAAAATAATATTTACTTTTTCCTACTTTTTCTACAAGTATAAACACTTCTTCATTTCCTTCAACACAGCTGGTGTGTTTATCAATTCTGCATATTTTAAGTTCTCCAGTCAATGCACTTTCTAGTGAATTACAATTATTATTGTTTTAAATGTATGTTCAATATACAACACAAATGTACTTTAGATTTTCACTTACTGAGATTATTGATGGTATGTGAATAAACAGGTTCTGTTATTGGTCTCATAACGTTATCATTATCCACAATAAATGCTTGAAAACATAACGCGACACTGTTCAAATTCATACATTTTTGGTAGTATTCAGCATCAGCTTTGATCTTTAAAGATAACCATTCAGTAAAATTAAACCACATATTTAAGTGGTTATATATAAAATAATAAAATCACATACTTGAGCTTCTTCTCGAGTGCTAATAGTAGCTTTTATATTACTCCTTTTATTTCTTTCTAAAGCTTCTATTCTCATCTTCCGAATAAGTTCATCTCTGACATGTTTTTTTGCGGTATGTATAATTCCCATTCCGTGAAATCTAGATATTAAATCAATGATAGTTAAGCATTTAATTATATTTATAGTTAATAATTCTACTTAAAGTTAGTAAATAAATATATCATGTTACATACGCTACAATATAGCCAGTTTCAGGGGACACCTTAACATGATATGGTTCATCATAATCAACACCACCATCTCTATACACTAATCTGTGTGCATGAGGTATTCTTCGACCTTCATCAGATGTAACTAATGTGCATCTAATTATTGCAGTCTCCATGAAATTATTTAACTAAATGATATATTCAAATTATTCAATAACTGTTTATATTACAAGTAAAAATGTTTCAAAATACACATATATTTTCATGCATAATTACCACCTTTAATCATCTATTATAACATATTTTATACATATACATACATACTTGTACTGTTGGTGCATTTTTTTTCCGACTGCTGTTACTGTTTGATCCTACTAAACTTCCATGTGTCCCTATCATTTCTGATTTATATCGAAATCTAAATTTTTCCATTGGCTGCTCCAGAATTATTAAATGTGGTTCTCCAATAGCTTGAATAAGGAACATAAAAGTATTTCAGTATATTTTGTTTAAAGTTTTATTATGTGAGACTATTTAAAAAAAAAAATGTTAAAAATGACATATTACAAATACCTGTTGCATTCTTTAATGACATAAATTCATTTTCAGTTAATGGTGACATCGAGGAAGTCCTTTGAGATTCACTAAATGGACTGCACATACTTTGAGCATTCATTGTTTGCAAATCTAAAAAATGAAATATCAAAACTTAATTAATGTATTCCATTAAATATCAAACATTGTAATATTAATAATGTTATAAATTTTTCTTATATTATTATCACTGTTATGTCAGAAGAATATTTTTACGAATTTATTTAATAGTCAAAGATTATAATTAAGCTGACAATTACCATATTCATAAGGAAAGAAATTACGGTTTTCAGAAACATTTTCTAAAACCATATAATTTTCATATACTTCAGGCATTGTGTGTTATTATAAACGATGTCACGCAACTTAATAAACGTTCGGTACTTTTGTTGTAACAAAATTGACGAGCAACATACAAAACTTAAAAAATAAAAGACTTTGACGATAGAGCACAGTTCTTGTAATACTGGCAAGCATACTCACCACATTTATCTTAATACGTCAAAACATAACCTTGATGGTAGTTGTAGGGTTTTCCCCGTCCAACGCAACATTGTTAACCAATCATTTCTTACGAATAATTTTTTCCAAATAAAAAGGATTGTAATAAGCGCTACAAAAATCTCGTTCGATATCACGTTAATTTAATGTGTAATTAGTTATATAAATAATTATATTGGAAATTCATTAATTGTATTTATTGATTTATTAATTGTAAATGATTATGCGTTTAATTCCAATGATGTGGATTCGCATATATGTTATGTGCGCGCGCTTACATTATATTACACATTCAAGTTTTTTCAATTTAAATGGTACGAATAGAGGGGATTTAACATAATTGAAACCATGTCTTCTAGAACGAACAACAAATTACACGATGGTAGGTGATGGTGGGGTTATCTTATGATTATATATACGTATGCATTAGAATGGTGAGTTACATCGTGTCAGACTATATCGCGAGACTATAAAGTATACTTTTTAAATTACTCAAACAGTGATTCCATTGTTTAACGATGTCGTATAAAAACGAAAAAATTGGTATAATTGGCAGGTAATAAGATATAATTAAATTAAAAACTTTGCCTCCTATTTAACTGTAAATCAGAAACATTCAATAATTTTATTTTTATATTTTATTCGATTAGAAATAAATAAGTAGTAGTTTTCTATATATAATCATATACAACATAATTTCTCTTTTTATTTAAAATATAAATTTGGCATTAAAATTTGGAATTATTATCTTGATGAATGATTAATCAGTTATTAATTGTAAAACATTTATTAACTACATATAATAAGAACTTTTTCAGAATGGTTTTCCCATGTAATGGATTAAAATAATATTTTCCAACTGCTATACATCATTTTCCATGAAAAAATTAACACATACCTCGCATTTATCAATTCAACATCGATTGCAAAACATAAAAATTACGTTTATCTTTAATATATTTTTAACTGATTGTTCATTTAAAACCCATTTACTGATACTCTGTGAATAAGTTTTCCGATAAGATAACAGTAAAAGAATAAAACGATTAGAGGGAAAATACACATGCCTCTGTATGCGTGACCTTTCGGAATTCCATATTTTTATGAAGAATGAGTTATCTTTATAACATAAAAATATTTTATTATTATTTTAGTGGCCTGATCGGTCGCAGTTGGGCAATGCTTTTTGCCAGCGTAGGGTATGAAGTAACTATTTATGATATCGTTAAAGAACAAATCACCCGAGCGCTTGATGATATTCATCAGCAATTGACGCGCCTTGAAAGTGGCGGTCTTTTAAGAGGGACACTTAATGCGGATCAACAATTTAAATTAATTAAAGGTTCGCATTTACATTTTTTGCGTCCATGCATTTGTATATTATGAATTACTGGTAAAATTAATAATATAATCATTAACAGGATCTTCAAATTTGGCTGAAAGTGTAAAAGGAGCTAAACTTATACAGGAATGTGTTCCTGAGAACCTATCATTAAAACTTAAGGTTTACAATGAACTTGACAATGTAGTAGATAACAAAGTTATTCTATCTTCTTCAACATCTACTTTCCGTCCATCTTTATTCAGCGAAAAATTGAAGCATCGCGATCAAATCATTGTATCGCATCCTGTACGTACTATTATATGTATATCATATACTTGTAGTGATCGGATGACAAAAGGAAATTTCCAATTGAAAGATGTGTAAAAAACAATCATGTAAATAATGTTTATTATTTGAAACATAGGTGAATCCTCCGTACTATGTGCCGCTTGTAGAAATTGTGCCCGCACCCTGGACTCGTGCTGAAATACCTTTGCAAACAAAGGCTATCATGACCGAAATAGGTCAAAAACCTGTCGTATTTTCTAGGGAAATTGACGGTTTTGCGCTTAATCGAATACAGTATGTAATGTTCCTTACTTTGTTGATCTTTTAACTATTTGTTGAAAAATTTAATGTATATTTAGATATGCGATCTTAAATGAAGCATGGAGATTAGTAGCTGATGGAATATTAAGCGCAAAGGATGTGGATGCAGTTATGAGCGAAGGTCTTGGAATGCGATATGCGTTCCTTGGTTCCTTTGAAGCCGCTCATTTAAATGCTGAAGGTACATGTTTTAAAATTAGACAAATATATTAAACAATTGTGTAATATCATTACAATTTATTTCAGGAATGAAAAAATATTGCGAAACCTATAAGAATTCGATTTACGATGTGAGCATGACATTTGGTCCAGTTCCTAAATTCGAAGGCGAGATGGCGGAAAAAATAAGTAATGAATTAAATGAAATGTGTCCATTGGATAAACTTCAAGAAAGACGCGCATGGAGAGATGAAGCTTTAACGAAATTGTCTTTACTAAAAAAAGAGCTAGCCCAAAAAAAATAAACTTGTTCCTAAAATATTAAAATTGTATTATGAAATTGTCGATAATTAATAAAATGACAATTAAACTTCTACATAAATGAAAGTGTTTTTCAAAAGATATTAATTTTATGAAGATTTTAAATTACGAAAACCTGTCTAAACGTTTCAGTATTTCATATATTAATTAGTATTTTTAGGTGAAATTAAAAGATGAATTTTTTAAAATTAAATTTTATTTTTATTTATATACTATCAGAGTTTAGCGTTTTCCTCCAACGCGGGGGGCTGATTTTTGTGTTACTTTTGCAGCTTTGTGTTTTGGTAAAGCCTTAGCCTTAGGAGCAACAACTGCTTTCTTTGTTGCTTTCACTGCTTTCTTTTGTTCCTTTGCAGCTCTAAATTCAAAATTGAACACAAATATAAAAAATAAGATACTGATGAAGCATATGAAAATATTAAACATGTATGAACCCGCAAAAACCGGACAGTGTAAAGAGCATATACAATTCCGGGTGAAGCAATTCAGACATTTGCTCTAAGACATTCTGAAAGCTAATGTGATACATATTATCACATCTGTGGAACAGATGTCTATCACATAAATTATAAATTTATGTTACTATTGATAAAATTATACTTACTTAATTGCCTGTTCTCTCTGTGCTTTACGAATTTCTGGTTTCATGTTACGTTTTGCCAATATATCTGTAAGTGATGCACCTACAATAGCACGTTGGAATTTTTGCGTTCGTCTGGTCCTTTTCTTTGCTTGTTCCTCTTCCTGACCCTTCTTATGTTTTCGTCTGTATTTTGAAATTATATTACATTAGCCTACTATTTATTTTCAATAATACAAAATATTTAAGTATAGATACCTGTATAATACGGTCCACGTAACTTTTCGTGGATTCCGTCTCATCAAATGGGCGGACTCACATTTTGAATTCAAAAACGTGAATGTCTGAAATTGCCATAGAGGTTATGGTTGACATATGACAGTAATAGAAACTAATGAAAATAACAAATATTTGATAGTATTAAAATAAATCGGTATGTATGTACGTAAAAACTGTATTGAACATACTTTTCCATCCACCTTAACCATGGTTTTACCATGGCCCGGATATATTTTATATCCACTGTATGCACAAAGACCGATCCTGAAAAGAATGACACCATATTCATTAAAAATGCTTTATTGACATGTTTATTTGGACAAATTGAGGGGATTTTAAACGATTATACTTTAATCTTTGGATGCCTATCTGAATAAAATTTTCACTTACTTCATGTTGAATTATAAAGAAGACGAATTCAACTAAAATGGCCGAAACCTTCCACTTTTGCTATGTTCAAGTGTGTATCTAGAAATACCAACATCCTAAAAATAAAATTTATACTGGTTAATTTAAAATTAGCTTTAAAAATTAAAAATTGTAAAGAATATGTGAATGAAATAGAATAACTAATATGTAATATGCAAATACAATATCAAAATTTATCATGAAAGTACATTTTTATCATATGTTCTGCATTGCGATTATTCTTATAATGTTGTCAGTACTGATTGCCAATAAATGGGTGTATTTATAAATGAGGAAAACATTAATATTGTATGGAATAGTAATTATTACAAAACCTGACCTAATTAGTATTGCTAGATGGTATTTACTATCATTATAAAATTAATCTGAAAACTTCCGTATCCAATAATCATTAATTGTAATACAAAATCACGTGTTCAATGCTTTATATTTAAGGTTAGATTTTCAAGTTACCTTATTTTATATATGTAAATGCTTAGAATGAAAGACACACATATTGAGGGGTTTGCTGACCCCGAAGAAATAAATGATAATGAGGAAGAGAATGAAATTACTAATATCAAAAAGAAAGTATGTAAAAAGTCAGGAGGTTTTCAATCAATGGCTCTGAGCTACCCTGTATTAAAAGGTATTCTAAAGAGAGGATACAAAATACCAACACCTATACAACGAAAAGTAAGTTGTGCAGTTTTATTGTTGACATGTATAAGCTGTTCTTTATTATACATTTTGTTTCCACAGACAATTCCTTTAGCATTAGAAGGACGCGATGTGGTTGCAATGGCCAGAACTGGTAGTGGGAAAACTGCTTGCTTTTTAATTCCCTTATTTGAAAAACTAAAAGCCAGGCAAGCAAAAACTGGTGCAAGGGCTTTAATATTATCACCAACTAGAGAATTGGCATTGCAAACATTAAAATTCATAAAAGAGTTAGGGAGATTCACAGGCTTACAAGCAGCTGTAATTCTAGGAGGTGATAGCATGGAAAATCAATTCAGTACAATTCATGGAAATCCTGATATATTAGTGGCAACACCAGGCAGATTTCTACACTTATGTGTTGAAATGGATTTACAGTTAAATAGCATTGAATATGTAGTTTTTGATGAAGCTGATAGGTGAAGAATTTTTCTAAAATCATATGTTTAATTTTTCTTGAATGATATAAATCATCTTATAAATGATATTACAGATTATTTGAGATGGGTTTTGGTGAACAGATTAATGAAATTACAAATAGATTACCAGAATGTAGACAAACATTATTATTTTCTGCAACATTACCCAAAGTCTTAGTAGACTTTGCAAAAGCTGGTTTAACTGATCCCGTTTTATTACGTTTGGATGTAGACAGTAAAATACCTGAAGAATTAACACTTTCATTTATAGTGTGTCGACCAGAAGAAAAACTTGCAGTACTATTATGTTTATTAAAAAATATTATTAAAGATGATTCTCAGACAGTAATATTTGCTGCAACAATGCATCATGTTGAATATGTTCATATGGTATATAATTAAAAGTATAAAATCTAACATTAATGTGTTG